TGTGAAAGGTCACAAGATGGTCTTATATTCGCTCCTCCTCTCCGTAATGTTCATTTGTCAATGCTGTGGATTTGTTTAATTACTCATCACACTGATGTAAAGATACAGTAAAAAAAACTGTAAAAGGATATCAGTCTCCATGTGTCAACAAAACAAAAAAAGAGCAACTCTATTTCAATCACTGGCAGTAACACAGGGCTTGATTTATGTATAGATACATATTTCAGGGGTTGAGAGCGAACTGAATTAAAAAGTATAAGATTAAAAGGAAGGTAAAAAATTAAAGGAACAGTGGTTTTAATCTAAATGAACCAAAAAATATCTATCTGCATCCATCTGACACACACACACACACACACACACCACCTGTCTGACAGGGGCCACTCCACACTGTGAAGGTGTATGTGTAAGTACAGTCAGGTATGTCTGCAGGTCAGAAGGCTTGAAATTTTCCAGAAAAATATCTGGAGTCCATGTCTGAAAATTGTGAAAGTTCTTTTCTCAGACCACCCTGAGAATGTGATTTAAAATAAAAGATAAGCCTCTGCCTCATTTCTGTTGCCCACCTACTGAGGAAACAGTTTCTACAAGCCTCTGGTGGTTCCAATGGTGAGCAGATTTTAAAGCCAATGCAAAATCACTCACACTCCCACTCCTTGAGAAATTCCTCTACCTTCCACTTCCTGGAACCACCACTTGAACATTAGAGTTGTATGCACCCCACTACTTATGGAGTAGCTTTGTTCGCATTTGGCAGGAGAGTCGCTGATGACGCTCTGCTCAAACAGCATATCCCCTGGGTGAGCTATGCATTCTTCGTACGCCCATTGGCTGTATCAAGTGTCAATCATAGAAAACATGAACCCCCAATAACTTTTAAAAATGGAGCTGTACAGAAAAAAGAGGACTTGAGCACAAACCAGTCTTACAGTATATACATGTCAACATCACAACCAGTGGGGAGAAAAAAAGATATTCTGAGTAATACATTTCTCAAGTTTGTCCACAGCTCCATAAGGATTGCTGGAAGAGGTGGAATTTATGACCTATACTGCAGCCCGTCACCAGAGGATGCTGTCCTTGCGGCGGCTTCCCCCCGGCGAGGAGGCAGACAGCATCCAATGTATATACAGTCTATGGTGGTTGCCTTTAATTTTAAGAGCAGTGTAGCAGTGACAGTCAGTGTGAATTAGTTTGTTTGTGCCAACCACTTCACCTCAGACAGCCTCACTAACAGGGTCAGTACAAGTGGGACATGTTGTAAACAGTGGAAAACATTATATGGGAAAATGAATAAACTTCAATTTGTCTTGATTTTCTATTTGAGAAAAAACTTAAAGAACAAGTAGTGTTGGTCAAAGAACAGGTGGTATTCAGATAACATTATCTGTAAGAAATAATGACTGCAATGAATCATATACCACATTATCAGGTTTTGGATAACCAACCTTTGCAGTGGTGTTCACTTTCTCACACCAACTCGGTCTTCAGGCGTTGTTTGAATGATATAAAAATATATTCACATGTCAGACCCTCGAGTCTCCGACTGTACCAAAACAAATCCAGTACTGCAGCAGCCATGTGTCCTCCCGAACCTCCAGGGCTTCAGAGGCGGTCAGAAGTGTTTAGCTCCCCAGTGTAAGCTGCCAGCCCTGGGCTTATAGAGGAGCTGGGGCTGCCTGGGACAGCCAACTCTAGAGGAACTTCCTGGGTCAGCAGTTTAAGTCACAGAAAGAAGGAAGAAGTAGAGGAAGGGACAAAAAGAGCAAGGGACAAAGGCAAAAGAGGCAGAGAGAAAGAGGTGGGAGATGTCAGAGTAGAAAAAAGGGAAAAGACACGGGTGTGTGGTGTATTTCAGTGTGTCTGTGCCTTTGGGACGGGCTGTCAATGGTCAGTTGTCATTGTCCGACAGGCTTTTGGCCCTTAGGGGCCCCTGTCACCGGCCTTGAGCACCTCGAGGTGATGGTGTAGGACAGAAGGAAGCAATGGAAGGGAATAAGAGATGAAGAAAGAAAGAGAAAGGGCTTTGCTTGCACCCTGTCACTGACCCTAATCACCTCTAGATGTGTGTGTGTGTGTGTGTGTGTGTGTGTGTGTGTGTGTGTGTGTGTGTGTGTGTGTGTGTGTGTGTGTGTGTGTGTGTGTGTGTGTGTGTTTGAGAACAGATGTAAAGAAGGCTTGGCTCACAACGGGGGAAACTGTCACTAACCCTCAGTGCTAAGGGCTCGGCCTGCAGTGGCTGTCAAAGATCCGGGTGTATGTGTGGGCCACTGCTACACTTGTGAGGGCCAGTTTACCATTGTACCTGTGTTAGATGTGCACACTCCCTTCAATCAGGGCTCGTGTTTCTCTCATGAAACTTGGTTTGCATTTCAGAGTATTTCCTCAAAAAAATGGGCAGATGGTAACTAATGACACTAAAACTGGAAATGGCAATACTAATGAGCTATGAAACCAAAAGGTGCCAGAAGTGGCATAACCAAAAAGTTGTCACCATAGATTGTTTGGGGAACAATCTGTTCAAACAGTTTGCACACGTTAATGTCTGTGCTGCACATCAGGCTGCAGAGGTCTTAACTCCTCTCTTGGGCTAGATAATCCAATACTAATTGCCAAACAGACCTTGGCAGCAATAGATTTCTTGATTAATAGTCCATGATTTGGGTGACCTTGTATGAAGACACACATGAAAAAATACACACAAGTGCATGCAGTGCTCATGAGGAGCCCAGGGTTAAAATGCACAGGTGTGATCGAGGAAGAACATGTACAGTAGTGTGAAGCAGAGGGCACACATATAAATGGAAAACACAGAAACGTGCACACAGAGAAATGTAAATAAATAAAGTAAAATAATATTTCAATCTCTAAACAAAAACGGATGAATATACAGTATTTCAGATAATAATTACAGAGTAAGGCTGAAGAGAGGCAGTGGTTTGCCCACACACTGCACATGTTTACATTTGTGTATTATGTGTCTATTCATAGGTTGACAGTTGGCAGTAATATTGTGCTCCCCATGGCTCGTCTGAACTAGATGTTGCGTAAATCACAGAGCTGTCTGTGCGATTCCCCTGGTGTTGAGCATGGAAAGCACGAAGGGACAAAAATAAGTGTGTGCTAGAGTGTGTGCACTTCACTGCCAGCTGTGTCTGTCAAATACAGATACCCCCCTGCAACAAATAAGACGGCAAGATGATGGAGAAAAAAAAAAAGATGTTATTTAAATGTATGGCAAATGAGAGGAAGTAAACGCTGCAGGCTGTGTAAGTGTTTCACTGTTTGGTGTTTATGCTCATCACAAACACCATCTCAGCGTGAAATATAAAGAGCAATCCAAACTTTAATTTCTATAATTGTATCAGAGGTGTGCACAAGACAAGATATATGTTTGCTTCTCAGCATGAATATGTCCTCCCTGAGTGTGTGTCCTCCCCATCATCAGTTAAGTTGGAGTCCCTGTGTTGTCGGAAATTGGAAAATCTCTGTTCATACTACCCCCTGTGTCTTCTTTTTCCTGTTACTTTGCCCAAAAAATAGCATCTAAACAGCCACTGTCAGCCAATATTTTTATCATTTCATTCATATCCATTGTCATGGATATGAATGAAATGATAAAAATTGTCATATCCATGACAATGGATATGAATGAAAGACAAGCACAAAGTTTGTGACACTTAACTATGTGAGTGAACACAACAGCCTTTCCCCCCACCCAACTCAGCTCTAAATGTTCTTTCACCCCAGTATGATTTTTTGTTAGGGTGTTGGTGAGCTCAGAAAACCTTATGGAGAATTTCCAGCGTGCTGCCAGTGTGTCCTGAAGTCAAGATAGGTGGTTCTGTCTTGTGTAGCTACCTGGTTAAAAACAGAGGCAGTCAGCGCAGGCTACAATTTTTTTCAAATCACAAACTTAGGTTAAGTGGTAGTGTGAAAAATAAACTCAGAATGTGATGGTACTTCAATATGAATCCCTTTTTAAAGATTTAAGCAGAGGGGTTTCTGTACACAGTCCTCACAGTCGGGGCTTGAAACTAATTTTTTTTGCATACCGGCTACTGTGGCAAGTGCTTTTAGTAGCCACTCTGCATTTTTACTGGCCGCAGTTTTTGTTGTTGGGAATGACATTTAATATGATAACAGCTGACTTCTTTATCAACTGGATTTGAAACATTTTGTGCGTAAATGACCTCTGTTCACACCAAAATCAAGACTACATCAAATCTAACACCACAGCTCATTCTGAACGGTCTTTTCTTCCCCTGTCTTTGCCTCCTACAGTTTGATCTATGTTCTTGTGTGTCCTCTGCCCTCTGGTTTTTTGTTTTTCCTTTTCTGTGCCATCACACATCCTCTATCTCTTACCCACACTATGACCTTCCAACTTTTATTTTTTTCACTGGTCTTTCTTCCAGCTGTTATTCAGCCCCACCTTTTACAATCACACATACCACAGCTTGCCTCGGGCTCTATTTTCCTATCCATGAGTGAACTTTTGACAGTAGTCATCAGCAATACTTTTTATTGAGAAGCCCAACAACACAACTCTGGTTCGAAAACATTTCACTTGATATTACATTGCCACAACAGGTGACCTGAATGTGGACCAGGCTGGTAAATGATGTTGCATTTTGAATTGATCCAAAATTGCAAACATGCTGAATGAAATCAGCAGAAACCAGCTGTGCATCACTTTTAAGAGCAGCACAAGAAGATTCTTATCTAATAGGAAGGACATACTGTGGCAATAATAAAGAAATATCTGTGGGACCGTTCTCTGTGGGACCGTTCTCTCTCTCTGTCACTATAAACACCTGCAGTAGAGTGTGTGTAACGGGCTGCAGGTCGTCAAATGCAAAGGTCAGAACACTGCCAGAAATTGTCTCGTTAAAGGATGGCATATGGATATTAAAAAGCATGTAAGGGTGGTCAGTGGAGATACTTGAGCAGCCTGTGCAGGCTTCAGGTACCATCAGTCACTATAGAATCTGTGCAGGGATAGTGCTTATGGAGTTGTTGTATTGTAGCATCACATTGCAAATGGTTAACTACTTCAGATGCCTTTTGAGGGGACTAGAATAAGAAAAAAAAATCAGTTACGCCCCAACAAAGTAGCTCATGGGGCCACTTACTATGACTGAAATTCACCTGCATTTTGCAGGTGCTCATTATCAAGGCATGTTAACTATAACAGAATCAGTATGCACCACACCACCACTCTCTTCTTTTAAGGTATTCAGGTAATGTGTTTAGATACACTTTTACAAAATCCGCTATTTATTCTTAAAGCTTACCACATTAGACAGTTGTCTTCAATCCAATGATACTCCTACAGGTGACAACTGCTTATCAACACATGTGCTGAGCCACTTAGGAGCGTATCGTGACTGGAAACTCTATTCGAAGGAATATTGGTGTGAACCAAGAAAAGCTACATTAAAAGGGATGAAAATAACATCAAAATGTAGTGAGATGGGCTCATACCCGCTCTTCTGATCCAGTCTGTTCTTTTTTATTCATTTGTTGATACTGTGGGTACCTTCAATTACACTGGTCTAAAGGCAAAAAACCTTGTAAAAGCATACTCTGTCACCTTTATAAAATAGGCTTTATAGCAATCCTTGACAATAACAGCAGTGAGTTTATGAACAGACGCAGATACCAGAGGTTGGGAAGGGAAAAAGAGAAAATATCCAGTAGACATATGCAAGGGCAAAACTGAAGGATCATTTGTTTTCATCTTGAATAAGATTGTTTAACATAAAAGCATCTACTAGATGTAATGATCCTCCTGAGGATCCTGATGTCAACTCCAATGACCCCGTGTCTAACAGGTAAGACCTCATGCTGTGAGGATACATGGGTGAACAGTAAACTCGTATATTTTGGGCCGCTGAGATTGTCCAGATTGCATGCTTGAAAACTGCTCATTAAAACCTGTAAGTTTTACCTGTGATGCAATGCCTTTAAATAAAATGCAAGAGCCCAATAGATTTAAGGGATTGAATTTTGATTATATTACAATTTCAATATTTTATTGAAATAGACAGTGTTAAAATTGACTTTATTGATATTTTGGGTCAGCTGTTACATCAAAATTGTGCTCCTGTATTGTTCTGTTGCTCACTGAATTGTACACTAGACAGACAATTTTCCCTGGAAGGAGAAAAATAACAGAATAAATTGTTGCTCTTTTCACATGAACATGGTCTCTGTGATTGTTCTGTTGTTGAGTACATGCTGACCCTTGTCTGCATTGTGGCTTTAGTGTGCATCGTACCTGTGTTAGCTTGTCTGCACAACCTTTGAGATGAGCAGTGAACAGCCAGAGCTCATACAGCAGTCACAAGTGGAGGGAAGGGGGAGAAGACAGAGATCAGAGAAAGTGGCCACAAAGGAAAATTGGTCTGGGATAAAAACTGAAGTGGAGATTGGGATGGTGGCCTTACATATCAGAAGAGAGAGAGACAAGAAAAGATTGAAGTTTGTCAGCTTGTGTGTGAACACAGTGCGCTGTGCAGAAAACCATTTTTTTCATATTCACACGTGCACTGCAAATATCACCATTGCTATCAATGGTGACATTTAAACCTTAACTAATGTCAATTACAGAAGCATAGCTGTACAGACTTTGATTAGACTTAAGTTTTTCTTTAACAGTGAAGTTAACACTGCAGCTATCACCAGTGTTGGGTAGTAACGCATTATTAGTAATGCCCTTACGCAACACTGTTCCTTTATTCAGTAACTAATAATATAACGCATGTTTTTTTTAAATTCAGTAACTCCGTTTCGCTTACCAAACACTGCGTTGCTCCAACGCAGCAGAATGGAGCCCAAATCTATTGGGCTCCGTTCCTCTTGGTGAGGTTTTACAACGGCACACAGTTCCCATAACATTTTTGCAGTCGATAAAGTTTAATTGAATTGGAAAATAAAGCACAGGTCAGGGCACGGCATGATGGCGAGCGAGAAGGGGAGGATACGTTTCTCCTCATGGAGATACTCACATTATTTTTAACTCGAGAACAAAGGGAAAAACAACATTTCAGTAACATGTAAACTGCGTCCCGGGTCAAAAATCCTTTCTATGGCATACAACAGCAACAGCAATCTACTGAGCCAACTAGAGAAGTGGCATGCAGCTAAGATAGCTGACGCAGCATCCAAGACTGAGAGTCACAGCAGCTAGCACACACCTACTCCACCCAAGCAGCAGGGGTTGGGGTTCAAAAGACAAACCCATAGCCAGGCACAACTTGATAAAACAATAGCACAGTATGTTTAATTGTTTATTTGGATCTATTCAAGCACTATCACGCTATTATTACACGAGTCCAATGGTAAAATTTAGGTGTTAGTGTCAAGGTTTGTGTTGGTGTATAACGCATCATATTGCTTGGATGATTAGATTCAGTGATGTGGATGCAAATAAATTGAAATGGTTGTTTTAATCAACACTTTGTTTTATTCAGTATAAGTACAGAACTGAAATGACGGCTAGAGGGGAACTCAGTCGATCCACCTTTATGTAATGGAAGCATTGGCAGAACGTTTTACAGTAACTAAAAAGGGACTTTCTCAGTAACACATTACTTTTTGGTTTAAGTAACTAAGTTACTAACTGAGATACTTTTTTACAAAGCAACTAGTAACTATTTTTCAGTGACTAGCATGACACTGACTATAACCTACATAGCTAACGGTCAGCAGGTGAAAATTCTCTGCAAGTTTTTAGAGCCTGTAAATTTGTCACAATCTGGCACAAAATCCCATGACAAAGTGTATGGGTTACCAAACATTTTTAAAACCAAACTTTATCAATTCAGATGACCTCATGTTTTTCAGCTTCAGTGATGAATCTGGTTGCAACAGTCTCCCAAACTCCATTAAGAAAAATACAACTCTGAAAAGTGGCATATAATTTCTAACCCCACACAAAATGAATGAAGACTTGACAATCCAAATTTCTACAACCAATTAAAACCAGCTGATTCAAACTCCTTAGTAAGATCTTTCTTTTTTTTTTTTTTCAGCTGACACAGCATGATTTGTTACTCACAGTGAACATCTATTGATTTTGACATGCCAATTATGTTACTGCCACATGGCAGCAGCCACACAGGCAGGTGCTGCCTCGCTGAGATGAAACGCCAGTAACTGGTGTCCATCCAAGAAATCCTGGCACCAACCTTCACTAACAGGTAGTCAAACACAAACCAACAAAACAACATGTACTTAAACACCTCAGATGGTTTAAGAGACACACGCTAAGTTACTGTGAATGCCATACTTTAACATGTCGGCTTACATACACAGAAAAGATCCTGAGGTTAATACCCTGGTCTAGGCTACAGCAAAGTAGGAGATACCTGATTTCAAAAGATAACGTAATACATTCATCAGACTTATTAATCAGCGAATCAAAGCTTAACAATGGAATTCGTTAACAGAAAAACAAAAGCTAAAGAGAAACTAAAGCATCAGCATTATCACATAGCATTTGTCTTTAAGGGAGAGATGGTAACAGCTCACAGACAGACCACCATGTCCAGGTGTTCCTGTTAGCACTAATGATCTCCCACTGCGTATGTGAAAGAAGTACACAGAGACAGATTGGCAGAGGGGGGCAAGGGTCAGCAAAACAAGATCTATATGGAGTTATATGGCAGTATTTGAAGAATATTTGGGGCAGGCAGGTCTTAGCAGCAGGCCGTAATCCAAGAGAACGTCGTGCAAGATGGCGCCGGTGTGTGTGGCTGGCCGTCTGCTACGTCTGCTACTACTGCAATGCTTGTTTTTTCTGTTGTTTTTAACCATTGGCACTAAACAAATCGAGTCTCTGTTGGTGTATGATCGCCAGTCTCTTTTATCACTCAAACAAAAAGCCACAGATTTGCGTGGTTTTGATCGGGGTGGCAAAGACAGTTTGCCCCCGCTGTTGGCGGGGATTCCACCTCACCTGTGCCGGGTGCCGGCCCTGCCTTCTCGCCGGAGGCGTCCTCGTCGCCGCGGCAGACGCGGCGGTCGGCTGGTGAAGCTAAAGCTTCGGCTGTCACAATCTTCGTCCATTTTCCGGACAGGGCATGGATTATCCCCTCATGTCTTTGTGCCTCGTCGCTTTCTGGACCCGATCGGCGTCTGTCTGGTACCTGTCATCGGCTCAGCGGAGGGACCCGAACCCCGCCGCCTCTGCCCTCTTCGGCTGTCACAGCGTGGGGTGGACCATCGGCTCCTCAGATCGCTGCGCCCGGCTCCCCGACCCACCGGACTACAGGCCCCGGCCCCAGCACCCGCCAGGATCTGCTTGGTAAACGCCAGATCCCTGGTGAATAAAACTTTTATCCTGAGGGATTTCTTCAGCTCTCGTGCCCTGGATTTCCTCTGTGTGACAGAGACTTGGATCGGTGCGGGTGAGTCCAGCGCTCTAGCCGAACTTTTACCTCCCGACTGCTCTTACTTTAACTCCCCGCGGACGTCGGGTCGTGGTGGAGGAATAGCAACGATATATAAGAATGGTTTTAAATGCAAGCAGCGCACAGTATCATCCTCTTTTTCAAGCTTTGAGGTGACTTTATTTGAGGTGGGTCGGTCTGACCCAGTGCTGTGCGCGGTCATTTATCGCCCCCCCAAATACAATAAGGAGTTTTTAAATGACTTCTCTGGTCTACTGGCTGAAATTATGCCGAACTATGATCGTGTCCTTATTCTTGGGGATTTTAATATTCACCTGTGTTGTCCTGAAAAGCCGCTGGTGAAGGACTTTGTAAGTCTTATTGACTCTTTTAATTTGGTGCAGTGTGTGTCGGGTGCCACACACGAGCACGGGCATTTACTGGACCTCGTACTGTGTCATGGTTTACATGTGTCTAACCTGGTGATATGTGATGATGTATTTTCTGATCACAGGCCTGTATTGTTTGAAGTGTACCTTTCTTGCTCTGAGGTTAAATCTGGCGCTCCTGCGCAGAGACGCCGGATTATTAACCCCTCCACTGCCGGTCGCTTCTCTGTGGCTTTTGAACAGCTCTGTGTCTGCCCTTCCTCTGCGAACACAGAGGTGCTCAGCTCCTGGTTTCATTCCTTCTGTGAAAATATTCTGGACTCTGTGGCTCCTTTAAAAACTGTTCGGCCAAAGGCTAAATCGGAGCCCTGGTTCAATGATGAAACTCGCGCAGCCAGACGAGAGTGCCGCAAAGCTGAGCGAAGGTGGAAGAAAGACAAGCTGCAGGTTTCTTTCCAAATCCTTAAGGACTCCTTGATCACCTACCAGAAAACTGTTAAACAGAGCAAAATACAATATCTGGCAAACTTGGTGGAGGTAAATCACCATAACCCACGTGTGCTGTTTAAAAGTATCGACACTGTTCTAAACGCCCCACAGCCTGCCAGCTTGGAGGCATCTGTGGAAATGTGCAATAATTTTCTGTACTTTTTTATTGAAAAGGTTGTGACTGCCAGGTCTCTCATCTGTGCTCCTGCATCCGACCCCTCTGTGCCTGTTCCTTGTTCGGCAGTTCTTGACAGGTTTGAGCCTGTGTCTTTGTCATATTTAGAAGAGCTGGTCGGCCATATTAAGCCTGCAGGTTCTCCCTGTGATGTTGTCCCTCCCAGGCTGTTTAAAGAGGTTTTCCCCTGCATAGGTCAGTCTGTTCTGGCTATCATAAACAGCAGTCTGTCCTCTGGTGTTGTTCCGCCAGGTTTTAAACATGCAGTGGTGCAGCCTCTACTTAAAAAACCAGGCCTTGATTGCAGTGTGCTGGCCAATTTTAGGCCCATCTCCAAGCTTCCTTTTATTTCAAAGATTTTAGAGAAAGTTGTTCATGTTCAGCTAAAGTCCTTTCTGGATGAGCATGGTGTCTTGGAGGTCTTCCAGTCTGGTTTTAAATCTCGCCACAGCACAGAGTCTGCTTTAATAAGAGTTTTTAACGACATCCTCCAGGCAAATGACTCTGGTGATTATGTTATTCTTGTTCTGTTAGATCTAACTGCAGCCTTCGACACAGTGGACCACAATACTCTGGTGGCTCGGCTAAGCTATCTTATAGGTGTCCGTGGTACTGCACTAGAGTGGTTCAAGTCCTATTTGACCGACAGAACTATGAGCGTGAGCCTTGGAGATACAGAGTCCAGCTCTGCTCCACTGCCGTATGGGGTTCCACAAGGGTCGATTTTAGGGCCCCTGCTCTTTTCTTTATATTTGCTGCCCCTGGGATCCATCTTGAGAAAGCATGGCATTTCATTTCACTGTTACGCTGATGACAGTCAGATATATGTGCCACTTAACAAAAAAAATGCTTTCTCCCTCACTCCACTTCTGGCGTGTCTTGAAGACATCAAAGCCTGGATGGCTTTGAATTTCTTAAACTTCAATGAAAAAAAAACGGAAGTGATGGTCTTTGGTCCCAGTGGCCCTTGTGAAACCCCTCCTGTAAACTTGGGTATTTTAGCAGATTATTTAAAGCCAACCGTCTCAAATTTGGGTTTTAAGATGGACAGTGATTTTAAATTCGACAGGCAAATTAGCTCCGTAGTGAAATCCAGTTTTTATCATATTAGGCAGCTGGCGAAGGCAAAGCCTTTCCTTTCACGAACGCACTTTGAAACAGTAATCCATGCCTTTGTTACATCTCGGCTGGATTACTGTAACGCACTTTATTTTGGAGTCAGCCAGTCCTCCCTCTCACGTCTCCAGTTAGTTCAAAACGCAGCCGCCCGGCTCTTAACTGGAGTACGTAAGAGGGAGCACATTACTCCCATCCTGGCCTCCCTCCACTGGTTACCTGTGCATTTTAGAGTTCATTTTAAGATTCTTTTATTTGTTTTTAAATCTTTAAATGGTCTGGCTCCATCATACCTCTCTGAGCTTCTCCACCCCTACACCCCAGCTCGGTGCCTCAGGTCAGCTGATCAGCTGCTCCTGGAGGTACCGAGGTCCAAACGGAAGCTCAGAGGGGATAGATCTTTTTCTGTTGCTGCCCCAATTTTATGGAACAAGCTACCCCTCCAAATTAGAGAAGCCCCCACACTGTCCATTTTTAAAACTCGTCTTAAAACCCATTTTTATTCATTGGCTTTTAACCCTCCATGAGACTCGGCTCCTGTTTTAGTGTTTTATGGTTTGTTTTTAGTTATTTGTTTCTATGTTTTTAAATTAGTTTTTAAAAACATTGAAGCTATATTTTATTATTAATTCTGCTTTTATTTTATCCATTGTTTTAATTGTTTCTTGATTGTTTTTTATCTTGTTGTTTTTGTCCTGTTATGTACAGCACTTTGTACAGCTGTGGTTGTTTTAAAGTGCTCTACAAATAAAGTTGAGTTGAGTTGAGTTGAGTTAAAAAGTGTTCAATGCAAGATGAGACAGGTAACAAACTTATATTAATGTTACAGAAGCTGAACGAGGAACTTTTAATGTACCTCATACTGATGATTTGCTCATGACTCCAGGATCAAAGTCAGACCTTAGGCTGGGGCTTTAAACATTTAGCTCACATACCAAAGAGCTCACAGATTTTATAAACTTAGTTTATGAGTTATTATGGATTGAAAAAATATATATTGGTTGCAGTAACTAAGAAATATAACCTTTGCAGTCATCACTTTGAAAAACACTGGCCTCTCTGGACTAACTTTACAAATGAATAAGAGGAAGGTGAGAGTACAGAGCTGGTCTGCAGCTTACAAATAAAGACTTACAACCCTTGTCCAGTATTGTGCAGTCAAACAGAGAGTCCCTGCAGCCTCCATCAGCGGGTTTATGTATCTTGGCATAGAGGAGGCAGTCATTTACAGAGTCTGAAGTGGTTAGAGAATGCATGCAAGGGTGAAATGAATATACGATAATAACACTGGTTGCTGGTTTGATAATATTCATGCACCACAACATGAATCTGCAAGAAATTAATTACAAGTGTTTCAAATGTGAAAAAATAATCAATATTTTTGTTTCACTACTTGTCTTGTTCATCACTTTGGCCATGTGGAAAATATATTTAAATAGCACAGATGTATAATGTTTACACAGAGGCATCGTATCCTTTGATAAGCAATGTGACGGGACTATAGTTTACCAACTTTACTCATATCCTGTTCTTATCAATGCTGTTAAAAACACATTTGTAGGTAAACTCACAAATTATATTATCACATAACAGAGTTAATATGCTGATAAGGATGTACAAGACATTCATTAATAAAATGAAATACAGCACTTACCATAGTTTGGTCTATAGGGCTTTGGCACACAGACATACTTGGATGCACACAGATGTCTGGGTGTTTAATAAGAGTAAAGAGGAAACACAAACAGGTGAATAAACAGGTTTGCACACAAGCAAATCTAGAATTATAAGCAGAAGTAGTAGAAGCTGTACATACTAATGCAAATAACCATCAAGCTGAAAACATACAATCACACACACACACACACACACACACACACACACACACACACACACACACACACACACACACACACACACACACACACACACAGAGTCAGTGATGAGCCCAGCTGTTGCTCTGTTGTTTATTAGAGGCATTCTTCTTCATGGCTGAAGCCTCTAAATCCCAGTAGGTTCCTCCATCTCTCAGGTTTCTGCCTGTTTACAGATGTTTTCTCTTCACGCCTCTACTCATTTCATCTCTCTGTTTCCATCCATCTGTCCTCTTTCCCCAGTGGATTTGGACTTGGTAAAGATCATCTCCAGGGCTGAATTCTCTGTTTGTCCTTCCTTATGCTCCTTTGTTGAAGCCCTTGTTTCCTCTCCTTGAATTTCCCAGGGGAACAGAAAGAGAAGGCAACAAAGGAGCTTTAAAGTGCAGCTTCTACAAGTCATATCATACACTGTATATCGGAAGTGAGGCTGGTTGTTCTCATGCATCTGTGTTTGAGGTAAATACTCCTATACTAGTCGGACAGACAAGAAACCTCTTACAGTTGTCTTAAAGTGATATTCCTGTGTAAAATTAATTTAAGGTCAAACACACCATAACACAGAGTTAGACACCCCTTCAAGAGATGAATGTTGCTTCTCTAGTTATACCAACTATAGTAACGACCGCACGATAGAAATACACAATACACAGATCATTACTTTATCACTTCCTTGAAGAAATAATCACCATATTAATTATTTGGCACTGCAGATGTGGTAGATCTTCTGCCTTAGCGTCTCGGTCTGATTGTACTTCAAAGAAGAAATGATCATAAATGTTCGTCCTTGAACTTCCCCTCACCCCGCAGCAGTTCATAATAGAAAAAAAAAAAGAGATTAAAAAAGTAATGTTATAGTCACTTTCCCCGGTAGTGGAGTAATTCAGCTACAAACTCAGTTAATTTTTTGGGAGAAGTAATTTGTAACTATAACTTATTACCTTTTAAAAGTAACATGCTCTTCTTTTCTGTACTTAATCTAGGACAGTTTTGTCTTTTTCACTTTAATTCATCTCTTGTCAAGGTTTTGTTCACCACCCAGCCTATTTCCCCACATATGTATAGTTTAACTTCAAAGACCAACAAGCAGGCCGTGGCACATTTACAGAAAGATTAGACCAGTTTGGTCAATCCCCAACAGCATTGTCTAAGTGTGTTAGTCCAACTCTGAGAAATATAACATGATCTGTAAAAGTGCAATTTCAGTGGAATAATGCAATGAACTGATTTATTTCAACATCATGTAAACAGAATAACTGCAGGGAAGAGACTGAATGAATTATAACAGAACACGGAGTAAAGTAAGTACAAAATGTAAGATGGGGATGATTTAAAAGTGGGTTTGTTGAGAGGGAATCAGTCTAGACCAATAAGAAGAGGAAAGAAGGGGTAATGAAGGCAGGCAAATGGTTCAGATGAGGGCTTACAGTTTTAATAGAAAGGCAGGAACATGAAACTACAAAGATATGGAGCATATAACATGAAAATGCAAAGGATTAGAATGACAGCTTAAGATGGCACAGAGTACTGCAGGATACAGAAAAAGCTTACTTCTCACGACTACAGTCCCTTGCTAATATAGTGCTGCTGGATGATTCCATATGGTGGACTGGCATTATCCTACAGTCTGTTGTAAACAGAACTGCACAGCTAATGGTCTCTCAGCGTGTGCTATATGTCAGTGCAATGTGCCAAAAGAAAAAAAAAATAATAATACAAAAAGAAGAAGCAATGATTTGGTTAACTGTGCAGAGGAAATCTTTCAACAAATTTTGAATTTATGGCACAACATAAAGATCTGTCTTTTATGCAAGGACATAGTAGGAGAAGAACGAGTATTATTTGTGACATTCACAGCTCGACAATCTTTTTTCATAGGCTGCTTCACATGTTGCCTACTTGTCTTTAAGGATGCATGGAGTGCACTCCTTTTGGTCCAGCATGTCTCTCAATTCATTGCAGGTCAATTTAAGAGAGATGGTGGACTCTCAAACGGCTGGCAATACAAATTGTATCAACTGAAATGGGGCCTTGAAACTTCAAATTATCTCATGTGACATTAGTTTTGTTGGCTGGTGCTGGTGAATATTTCAAGGCTGCTGGGTAACGGTTGCTGTGCCTAGAAAAGAAGAGGGTAAAGGGGGAACAGCTGGTGATGTAAACAGGAAATCCTCCATCTTTCAGACCATCTTATTTCAATCCTGCCTCAGTGGTTTGGACATGTTATGAAAGCCGGGTCATTCTTAGGCTGTGTCCTTATGTGGCAAGATAGGGAGTCCCCTCCACCCTAAACCTGGGCTATGTGTGATGGGCTAGAGATGACTGGGGTGAAAAGGGGTCACAAATTGATCTACATTTAAATGACATACTGACAGGGCACAGAGGAGACAGCATTTAAGATGTGACAGCAGCAGGCTGATTGGTTGCCCCTGGCAAAATCTAGCTGGTTTAATACATACAGAACACGCATGATCAGCTGATCAGAGCAGCAGGAAAGATGAAGAAGGGATATTTCTGAATGATATGAAAGAGTCCTGCCGTTAAACCTGTGCTGAGCTTATGTATTTGCTCCTGTCAGACCTGACTGTCACTAATGAACTCTGTTCTGGTGTTTCTGCATGTTTACGTTCATATACAGTATGTGTTAGTGTACATGTGTCGCACATGATTTGCCTCGAAGCACCAACTGATTTACAAATTAGCTGACATGTTGTGGCATTTCTGTCCCTGTTGCTCTTAAACAGTATTGCAGTATTGACCCACTGAGCAACCCGGGAGGAAAGACCCATCAATAGACAGATTTCTCTCTCTCTCTCTTCTGATTTTCTTTCTCTTTCTCTCTCTCTCTCTCTCTCTCTCTCACACACACACACACACACACACACACACACACACACACACACACACACACACACACACACACACACACACACACACACACACAGTCAAACCATAATAATTTTATGACCATGACTGACCTTCAACCTCATAATGAATTGTCACTAATCTCTCTCTGTATCTTATTCATACTGTGCTTTTACTTCATTTCCTGTGCTTGATAAGCCTCTTTAATCTCCCAGGGTTCAGACGACAGCCTCTTCATTTGTTGAGCAGAGCTTCTCCATGACAAAGTCCTTAAATGTCATTAGAGGATGGTATCAGATAAGACAGCCTGCTGGACAGGTTTGGTATGAAGTTGTGAAGAGAGCATCAATTCTTCCTGATCCGGCTGTCACGCTGTGGAGATAAAAAAAAAAAAAAAGAAAGGAAGAAAGTCACAGAGAGAATTGACCAGAGAGCAGATGACACACTGTTACCTGAAGAAAATGTTGCAATAAAAACCACTGAAAATGTTATCAAGACACCGTGACCCTCATGGCAAACATCTCCAGCTCTTATTCTGTGTTTCCATTTTATTTGTAACTGCCAAGTGATGTACGCAAAAAAAAAAAAAGATAAGGACAAGGACCTCGGCGGTTTATTTGTTGTGTAAGGATTCTGTTCAAAATAAGAAGTACAAAAAGATATCTACTGGCCTTTTTTCTCTGTCTCTTGTATCATGTAAGAGCACTTTTGCAGCTTGAGTCCATGAGGTCTCTGTTGAACCACAAGAAATGAGGTCTATCAGGTTGTTTGAGAGATGTCGGGGTTTAAAGGGAGGACATCAAAACCAGCAAAGTTTCCATCCAAGTGACCAAAGTTTACGAAAATTAACCAAAATAATCCAATGTGGCTAACTGGGGTTTTGTTTGATGATGATAGTTTCAAATTAGTTACTTCTTTAAGTAAAATGTTCACTGAAAAGGCTCATTTATGCTCACCATACAAATGAAAATGTACACCTCCATATCAAACAATGGTTTGATACGGAGGTACCACATACTTCCATGCGTCCTTTACATTGGCATGGATGTTAACCATTATATCCATTAGGGGGCAGGCCGGAGTCAAAAGATTCAGACAACAACAACTAAAAAGAAGCATGGCCGCTGTGGAGGAGCTAGTGATCATGTATATTTTGCATAGGAGACAGAAACGGAGGCAACATTGGAGGAAGTGGAGGTCGGTCAGGCCACTAAATGCCTCGTGGTTGAAAGACGGAGAATTCTTTTCTCTAGTAGTAATGAGAAGAAAGCCCTGCCACTGTCTTCTTCTTTTCTCTCAGAGATGCACATCAGGTAGTAATAGCAGCAACACTGCCCCCAGGTTTCCGTTGGTATTGCTCTGTCTGGCCAGTATCCGTAAACCTAATGGATACGTGCAGAAATACGGACAAAAAGATCACGAAGCATGGACAGAGAGCTCCGTTAGTTTCCAGATCCGTACGTAATGTTGAGCATAAATCAGCCTTAAGATGATGTACTTGTAACCATTATTAAAAGAAGTGCTTTCATCACTTTCACAAAGAAATTAAAATATAATTTGCAGATGTACAAATGAACTTTTAGCCTTTGTTGGACTGGTTCATTTTAGACAGCTGTCATTCTGCTATCCACTGTGAACAGAGGCGTCATGCTGCCAGATTGGAGCCTGTCTGTTCACACATCAGAATCACCACTTTCTGAGCTCTCTCTCTCCCTCTCTCTCTATCTATAAGTGTCTAAATTCACAGGGATACAGACTATGAAGTGAGATAGATTGGGGCCCTTTCTAACCTCAGAAGATAAAATATAAGAGTGAGAATAGGAGGTGATAAGGATAAAGAGAGCTGAATTGCAGCTTGGAGAAACTCTGCTTTGAATAGTAACCTCACAGGAATTTGCCTGCAAATCAACCACACTGATCAAATCTGTTATGTGTTCAAAAAAAAAAAAAAAATCCTGGCACCCAAAGGTTTTTTATCCAGTGAATTTTAAATTAGAGGCCAAGAAGTCAGACCCAATTTCCATCAATTTAGCACTTTGAAATTGAAACCTGACTTTTCTACAGTTGGATCACAGCTCATCCAGCTTTTAGCCATGAATTTAAAAACGTTGTTTGCTGAAAGTTACCTACACAAAGCAAGCTCAAGGGCAATTATTTCTCCTTGACAGCCAGTCAACTCACACAATCCCTTTTGATATGCTTGAGTTTTAGGACCTGTGAGCTAGTACTGCTGGTCCTCCACTTTTCAGTCTTAGATTTTTAAAGTCCTGTCAAATTATGGTCAGACTTTGAATTTTAAGAAGAGTTACTGTCTCCACATACCAAGCACCAGTAAAATCATTCCTGTGACTGAATTACATGTTAAGTCAATGCAAAGATGCGATTAGATGCCTGTATTACCCTGGCAAGGCGAATGACGCGAATTGGGCGGGAGCTGAAAATGTCTCAACTTGAGCGAATACTCGTGTCATCAGCACAAAGGTTGCCTGGTGATGTATAAAATTGAACGGTTGTTCACTGGTATCTAAAATGGAGGACAAACTGATCGTGTTGGTGTGTTGGTGCCCCGAATCATAGGTCGTAGGTCGGATCATAGGTCGGAGGTCGGATCACTTGGTAAATTGTAAAAAACCTTTGTCTATCACTGGATCCCGCCGGTTGAATTGGCAGGGATTACCATTGAAATTAGCATAAACTGCTCTAAATGCACAAATGAAGCGAGTAAATACTTTTCATTTACACGTCTAGATTTGTGTGAATTAAGTGGGTGGATGATTTTACTCACGCTTGGTGTGAGTAGATTGATTCTGTGACTCACAAGGACTCTCAAGATTTTAATCAGAAATGGACACAATAAGAAAGTTCATGTGAAATTAACTTCTCATGCTTCCCTGATGGACCTTCAACATCCCTTTAACAGTAAACTGATGTTTTAAATAAATCAAGAGGTTAATTCAATTGCATGCACACTATTGCTATCATGTCTGGCTAGTTTTTAGGCAGTAAGGTGGAGGGGCCCAGAGTGGCATTGGCCCAAAATCAGCAGCTCCCCTGGATGGACCTTTTTCAAAAAACAATGCCAGAAGTATCGGAGGTAAACAAAAGAAACTCACTCTTGATTGAGAGTTACTAAAACCTCATTAATGCAAATCTAAAACATGCTGTCTCCTGGATTAACAGTCTGTAACTGCAGCTGTCAGAGTTGCAGAGAGACGTGCAGATATGTAGCATCCTTGTTCTTTGTTTTACTTTGCAGATTTAATATTGTGTAAAATAGTTTAATAAAAAGAGGCACATGCTTTTACCAAGTTTTTTTTAGCAGGCATGGTTTTAGCTTTGTTTAATATAAAATGTAGTGGCTTCTGGGGTATGATCACTGAGATGCTCCAGGTGAAACTAAAGTGAGATGAGAAATGGCAGAAGCAGACAGAGGCTGCATTATACTTGTAGAGGATGGCATGTTTACTGATGTTATTTCTTCTTCTCTTTCAATAGAAAGCATTGGAGTACACAGATGGTGGGTAGGCAGACAGGCAAAAAGTAGAAATTGGCAGGTAGAATGTAAATGAGTATGCCTGCCAGGGAAGCAAAGGGCCAGACAGCCCTAGAAGTCAGCAAGAGTGTGACAAAAAATCTGTGTTTCAGGAGTTAAAAAATAAAAATCTGTTGGACAGAGCTCTCCTACAGCTCCTTTTGTTCAAGAACTTGAGATGCTGTCTCATCTGAAGAGGAGCAGCAGACCTCACATTTAACTGAGAATGTGGAAGTCATCAGAAACATGCGAGCTGTAAAAGGGTTTCACTGTGTGCCACATCATTCCAGTTTCCTCCTTTTAAAAGCCAAGTTTGAACCCACATCCATTCATCGAGTTTGTAATCAAGTCTGTTTCATTTCTTTGACAGAGCACATGATTGCAGAAACAAATATTATTTCCTCACTCATTTTTTCTTTTAGCCTGCTGTTATTGCAGATCTTTTCTATTTCCTCTATGCGGGCTCTCATCCTCTTCCTTTCTTTGTAATTGTCACTTGAGTTTTCATATATGTCTGTAAGGCAGAGTAATTAGTCTCTTCTGTCGGAGTGATTAAGTGCTTGGAAAGACAAGAAGAATGGTGCTTTCTTCATATTTTTCTTCCACCCACTTTTTAAGCTTCACCATACTGTTTCAATAGTGAAGTGATAGTTAGTATTGTATGTATATATTTTTAAATGGAATACATCCATTTGACCAGAGTTTATGTAAAAAATAGATTAAAGGTCATAGCTTAGTTTAGTTTAGTTTAGTTTGGTCATCTGTTCATGTAAACAGTTATATTACATACATAATACATGGGAGTTAGAAATAATAAATACTGTTAATTACTTGGTTTGACCAAAAAGGGTGTAGGCTGAAGCTATTGCTCCTACCCCTTCCACATACAGAGTTTTCATGACATTTTTATACATGTCTTTTCTTCTATACAGAGAAAAATTTTTAAATAAAGAAATACATAATAAACAAGAACAAAATACTTTTCAAAACCCATTAGGTGATACAGACACGCTCTAAAATTTTTCAGGTCGGTCTAAAGTGATTCTTCAACTTGCTTGTACTTTATAATCATGTTTTTGAACGCTTTTTTAAACATGTGGATTGAACTGCACTTCCTCAATTCCTTATCGCAGCATGTCCACAGACTTACACCTTTTACAGATACACAATGTTGTTTTGTATTAGTCCTAACTAGTGTTTTTGTAAACATACCTGTGCTTCTAAGTTCCTATTTGGTATCTTTGATTACAAGCAGCTTCTGGAGACTGTATGGCTGCAGCTTGTTATGTGCTTTGTACAAAATCAATAAGGTTTGGAGATTAACTAGATCAAAGAATTTAAGAGTATGAAGTTTGATGAATAAATCGTTTGTTGGCTCACAATACTCTGCTCCCATGACTATTCTTATTCTTATTTTGTAGGATAAATATAGGATTGACATTTGTTTTATAGGTATTTCCTCAAATCTCTATACAGTATGTCATATATGGGATGATAAGGGAACAGTATATAGTGAGATATATGTAGTGAGATCTTATTCAGGATTTCCTTGGATCTATGTAGTATGGCAATGGTTTTTGACATTTTCCTTTTTACCAGATCAATGTGAGGTTTCCAGTTTAATTTGTGGTCAATTAATACTCCGAGAAATTTGTATTCGTAAACTCTTTCAATAGTGATGTTATTTATTCTTAATGTGACTTCTTTTCCAATCTTTCGGTTCCCAAATATCATGAATTTTGTCTTACCTATGTTCAGGGATAGTTTGTTCCGGTCAAACCACATTTTGAGTTTGTTCAACTCCACTTCAATAGTCTTCAGAAGCTCTTCCAGGTCTTTCCCATGACAAAACAAGTTAGTATCATCCGCAAATAAGACATAATTAAGAAGGTTTGACACATTGCAAATATCATTGATGTATAAAATAAACAGTTTTGGCCCCAAAACGGATCCTTGAGGGACTCCACAATTTACTTTCTGTCTACTTGATTTCACATTGTTAATTTCTACAAATTGTTCTCTGTTGTCAAGGTAACTTTTTAACCATGAGTTTGCAACCCCTCGGATACCGTAATGCTCTAATCTGGTAATTAGAAGTCCATGATGGATCGTATCAAAGGCCTTTCTAAGGTCAACGAAAATACCAGCTGTAAACTTTTTGGTATCGATAGCTGTGGAGATCTGTTCAGTCAAGTTCATGACTGCCAATGTTGTTGAACGGTTTGTTCTGAAACCATACTGTTGATCGCACAGAATGTTATGTTTTTCAGTGAAGTTGTCAAGTCGGTGTACAAATAATTTTTCTAAAATTTTTGAAAACTGCGGGAGCAGGGAAATGAGTCTGTAGTTAGTGAATAGGTGTCTATCTCCATTTTTGTATATTGGGATAACTTTTGCTGTTTTCATGCAATTGGGAAATATGCCAGTTAGGAAAGATCGATTACATAAATAGGTCAATGGTACCTATATTTGCAGATTAAACAAAAAAAGAGTACTATCACAAAGGTATAAAAAAAAAATTCCTGAAAGGCTGACTTTCTTTTTTTTAAAAGAACCCACCATTGTTTTTCCTGCTAAACAAGAATGAGGGAGATGTTTGATGCTGTGTGGGAGGCTTGCTGATTCACCACAGCAACAAAGATGAACAGAGAGCGTGTTAAAAATGATCTCACATTTTCTGTTAAATATGTTTCTTTCTCTCTCTTCTTGGATGGGGTTGATGTCATTCACAAGGGAAACAGGTGAATGAAAAAGCTTGAGGGGAGTTCCACTGGAGACACACAAACACATTCACACTTCCAGGGACTGGTGAGAGATATAAATGAACCCGACAGAGAGAAGGTGTCCCTCATTATCACCATCACAGAGTCGGCTGTATGGTATGTGTATGTGTGTGTGTAAGAGCAAGAGAGAGATTTTGTGTAGAAGATGGGAATGTGTGTGTGTATTGTGTGGAAAGCTGAGAGTGTAAAATAAATTCCAGTGAGAATCGGGTTTGATTTCCTCATTATCCAGAAGCAGATAGATGGTGCCTTTCTTGAGGATCAGATTAACTGTTAAAGATAAAGGTTACACATCACACAGGGAGAATCCAACTGAGAGCTGCACAAATGTCTACTTTGGCAGTAAATGAAACACAACACACCCTTCTTGTTTCTTCTCCAAAGTAGTCAGATTGAATTGGAGCCTCACAAAGCTGCACAACTGTGAAAGTGGACTGAGATCTTACTTCACACTTAAATGTAAGTAGATATGAGGCATGTTATATAAAACAACTTACCGCTAAATATGTCTTTGTTAAAGAGTGATGGGATGCAAATCACAATCTGTGATGTGTGAATCCTCTTAATTTGAAAAACAAATTGGATTAGTCACAAGGCAAAACCAACCCCACAATAAAAAGAAAAAATATAATGTTTCTGTGTCATGAAAATTCATATCTAAAGTTTCATCATCGTTTCCTCACATTTTTAATGAACGCTGGCTGTATCACTCTGTACACTGTCTTTAAACTAGGGATGGGCATGATTAATCAGTGATCGATTAATTGATTGTTAAGAGTTACATCAATCACACAAAATTTTGATCTAGCTAATGTTATTAAAAAAATGCAGACAGCGTGCGTTCATCCGTCCATCCTGCTTTTCAGCAAAGACCAACCTCTGCCAATCAGGAGGGATACCCTCTCTGTCCAGTCAGTGTGTGTATTGAAGCAATGCAGTGATTATGCAGAAGTCAAATAAAACCCAAAGACAGCAAGACGAAGTGTATGTGGGACCATTTCGAGCAGAAAAATGACGAGGTTTGCTGCAAACACTGCGATGCCGTGAAGAACACGACAATGACCTGACGATGGACCACTTGAACTACACATATCTGATTGAGGTCAATAAATCCTCTGAGTGCTCTCAGTCTCAACCTGGCTAGGTTTCTTGCTAGCAACGAGGAACTGTAGGGTGACCAGACATCACCAATTTCGGGGGACAGTCCCTGTGTCCCCAGCTCAAGTTATCCCTGAAAATGGCCTTGATGAATTTTGGGAATGAGAAAAATCAAGGTTTATTATGGTAGCAGGGCAGGTCATCAAGTAAGAAGTTTAATCAGCCAAATGTTCATTAAATATGAACATGCTACGTAAAGTTTATGACGACGTTAGTGTTACACTGCAGGATGGGTGCAGGGTGTGTTACTTGAATAGAGGAGAGGAAAACGTTAAAACTGACATTGTATATACTTACTAGAAATTTAGCTGAACTCAACAAGCTGTTAACCTCTTGTGAGAAGGTCTTTTTTTTTTTACCTCAATGGAATAGACTAAAATTCACATTGATGCATTTTTATGATATACAAAAGCCATCAAGAACGTCAGAAACAAGATTGGTGATTTTAATATTGTAATTTTTTAATGCGTGAAACCTGTGTGAGGAATAAGTGTCAGCTGAGCAGCTGAAGAAACAGCCCTGTGAATTTTCACATATTTTAGTGTAGTCATAATAAATGACACATAATGGTGACTCTGGAGGAACAGGGGACAAGATAAGCAAAGAGTTATTTGTCTACAGGAGACACCAAAATTGAAACAAACTGAGAGTTCCTCTATGGACCTTTAAAGGTCCTGTGAGGAGTTTTTAGCTGATTATCAAGCAGACTTTAATTAGTACTGATGTCTTTTTATGATCTATAAAGACCATCAGGGAGATGATGAACCATAACTATAGTGTTCTTTATGCCTGTAAACAAAGCCACAAGGTAGGTGTCTGTTGAGGCTTTAACCTTTGCTTCCATTTTTCAGGGCAAAGGTTAACAGTGAGTGATATTATTGACAGTTAAAGTCTGCAGTGAGAGATTTGATAAATACGCACACACACACACACACACACACACACACACATATATATATATATATATATATATATATATCAGTGGCGGCTGCTGGTCTTTCAATGAGGGGAAGCTCATTTTTCTGGCCTACATCATAATTGTATTTGTTTATTAGTATGTAACAGAACAGAGTCGCCAAACACAACGGCAGTCGTTTTTAATAAAGACAGAAGTCGCTGAGGATCGGTAAAGTCTCCGGAGCAGTTAAGAACAACGGAATGAATGACTTGGAAAATGCTCTGGTAGATGTTTTATTCTTCAAGATCGCTGATTCGCTTGTTTAGCTGTCAATCAAAAAAGGATTTCGCCTCAGACAGCTCATCCAATCATGGATGCAGAAGCTTGCAGTCCGGGAGAAAGTCGGGACCGCCCTCTCGCCATAGAACTCCAGTGAAGCTTAGCTTCCATTGGGCGGGACAAAGCCCAGCATTTATCCAATGAGCGTCTAGTTTCGCTGCTGGAACAACCCACTTTGAGCTTCCACATTGAAGTCAGCAGAAGCCCAGCGTCCGGCTGTTTAAAGTGCTGAGGCGCTGCGAGGATGAATGAGAACAAAGTTATGCCGGTTACCTGTGATTATCAGCTTCTTATCACAGTGTCTGAACAAAAGATGAAGGCTTTCTAGTACGTATTTAGTTAATGAAATGTACACACAGCAGTACGTATTTCACCACTTTTTCTTTTTTTGGGGGGGTGACATTTTAAGGGAAGCTGAGCTTCCCTTGCAGTCTTAGAGCAATCGCCACTGATATATATATATATACATAAAACTAGCTTCCGCACAACGTAGAAAAAATTGTTGCACACCACAAGACCCTCCTCAGCTTAAAATCAGAGTAAAAGCACAGTTTTTACTTCAATCTCATTATGTTCCTGTAAGTCCATCAATTTAATTTCAACCCTCTGAGTGACAGCACTGAGGAACATATTATTTTCCGCCATTGGGCGTTCTTATTGTTAAACATAAAGCCTTTTTTTTCAACAATAAATGATTTTGAATGAATTTTTTTTTACTATCAAGAGCGTCTTTAACTCCTTTTAGCAAAACTCTAAATTGTTAAGATATTTTGGCATATGTTTGTGTGTGTGTGTGAGTATCTTTCCGTGTCTAGTTTCATAAACATGACTGGGTGATGTGATCTAAGGATATCAACCTTGTTACACCACCAGTTCTTCCTCTCCACCCTGCAGGTCTGCTGTCTTACAATGGTACACTAAACTCATCTGCTTAGAGTGTGTGTGTGTCTGTGTGTGCCTGTGGGTGTGCTATTTTGCTCTTTTCCATCCTGCAGGTTTCTTATGTAAAAGTGTCAAAGGGAGGCCAACTATACATCAATGCAATAGTCTATTTGTGGTCCTGTTTGTGTTTCTGGATCTTAAATCAGATAAAAGTCTGGTACTGTTATTTTGTTTTCTTGCCCTACTAAGACATAAAACTTGTTTTAAATGTTTGAAAAAAACATTTCAGTTCAATTCAATTTTGCAATTCAATTCATGCTTGAGAGTTCATATAAGACGAGTGATGATTTTTCAATCCCCTCAAGGTCTCTCAGTTATTAGTTACAGTTGCCTCTAGCTCTACCCCTGATGTTCCAACCACTTTTTTCCTAGTGAGAAGTTTTTTTTTCTCCTGTTACAGTTTGAGTTTTTTCTGATTGTATTTTTCTTTTGATGAAAAGAAAACATGTGGTGACAGATTTTCAAGGTCATAGTGAGCTTATCTTTATAAAGCCACTTACATACCCTGTAGATATATAATGATGATGTACATTGACACTGATGTATGAGCTACTCATCTCAACACATTCCCTATCTGGACCTATCACGATGTAAACTTCTTGCTTGTTAATCAAGTTGACCTTTAGCTCTGGTTAGCTCAGTCAGTCTGGCTTGATTAGTTGGATAGTCTCAGAGCAAATAATTCTTATTGTGACAGAGCTCTGAATCTAATTGACCTCTGTCACTAAGCCCCGCCCCTCGAACGCAGATGAGCCAAAGGGAGTTTAGTATCAGTTGCACTGGGACCGAAACTCAGACATCTGTAGCTTTCAGCTCCATTGAGAAGCATTAGAGGTCGTGATTTTTCATCTGTTTTATGGCATTAATTTTAATGTAACAGAAAGAAACATGGTAAAAAAAAAATTGAAAAAAAAAAAAAAGGTTTGCAGATCTAGATGTAATACCAACACAAGGTATTCTAACCAAAGAAAGGTTGAAGTAAGTGTCTGCTATGTATTAAGTTGTGTGGCTGACCACACAGCCAACTCAACATCCAGAAGATCAACAAGGATGTCTACATTTGTTCTAAGGTAAATTACACCAACATAGCTTTACTAACTTTACTGACAGTTATTTACCTATCATTAGCAATGTAGTAACAGAGCTTTCGCCTCTGGTAAACTAGATAAGGCTAATGTTAGCTCAGGTTAGTACACTAGCTGAGTGACTGTAACGCTCAGTGCCTCTCCAGATTAGTTTAAATACTTAAGGTAAATTAATTTAATCTTACCCTGCAGTACACGAACAGTATTGGTCTTGGATGTTGTCATCTGCAATCATGACGACTGTGAGATGAGTTAGCAACCAGTTAGCAACAGTAACTAGGGGGGCAGGACTTTGCGATAAGGTCAATTCATTCAATAATATCAGAGTTATAGAAGTAGTGCTTCTGGTGCTAAGCCAAAGGTTTAAGTGTTGGCCCTCAAAGTAGCTGACCTCCTTAGCTTGTCTGCTTAGATTTAGGTTACTTTACCTGTAAGTCGGGTTGGTTTACACTGAGTAGGTAGGCCCCTTTTTCACACACAATCAACCACATATATGACTGGTTTAAAATTTTTTTGGGGCCCAGCTACACTAGTTTTAACCTGTCAAATCACGGTGCAACAAGGAAGCTGCACTACCAAGGAAAGGTAAGTCCTTTATTTCATAACAAAAAAAGAAACAAGGATATGCTTGGTGTTTGTACGACTTCAGTGACTGATTGATTGAAGAGGGCTGAAAAAGACTAAAAGAGAAAACCCATAGACAGACAGACAGACGGCCAGCAGATGGCGTAACACGTGCTCTCACACTCAAATAATACCTGCAACAGGCCCTAATCTCTTGGATGGACCCTCTCAAGGTCAAATGTACTTGTTTCCACATGGGAGAAGAAGCAGAAAAATGAATGATTACAATCATACCATACTAATATAACAGCACTATAGAGAGATTCTGAAATAATGCAATTAAATTAAAGCACTCATGTGTGAAAGATTATCCACTTGGTTTGGTTAGAGGAGGAACAGGAAAGTAATCAACAGAGACACTACACAAAGCAAATTAATGGTCTCTGTTCTACACACTTTATAGTGGATTTTTTTTTTATGATGAGTTTGCTTTATTGGCTGTTATACAGAGAAATGAGAATCAAAGGGATTATATAAAGCTGGATTTAACCTGGTGCACTGCAGAGGTATGGTTTGTGCCTTGAAAGGTTCAGTTATTTAGAGGGGCTATTTTTTTTTACAGTTACAGTTACCTTCTACCATAAAAAGCTTCTTTGGTCCTGCACAAGGCCATTCACAACATTGTCACAGGTATCTCAAGTTGTAATCGCCATACACAAGGAGTGTTGATGGCAGTTCCACTTTTGGTGTATAATACATACATATGTTCAAAACTTTCTTAAAGGAATGTTCTAGTGTAAATATAAGTTTTGGTCAAACACACTGTAACTCCAAGTTAGACACCCCTTCGAGAGATGAATGTTGCCAACTGCTTGATTCTCTAGTTATACCAACTTTAGTAACGACCACACAATAGCAATACACAGAGGTCTATGCCTCCACAAATAATGCTCAGAACAGCACCCAACTTCATCAACAGTACATATAGGGTCCCAGCCATAGTACTAGCCATCAAACATCTTTTTAGCTTTGTCTGGTTTCTTTAGCACCCACTGTCCTCCAGCAGCCGCTTGTTTGTGGGGGAGCCCTGACGAGTCAATCACTGAGTGCAGCGGAGTTTCGCAGCTTAGAAGAACATTTATGATCATTACTTCATGGAAATGCGATCAGACTGAGACGCCACGGAAGACGCAGAAGAACTACTACTGTGTCTACAGTGCAAAATGATTATTATGATGATTATTACTTCAAGGAAATGATCCGCTGCACTCGATGGACTCATCGGGGGGGGGGGGGTCTACCTGATGTGTTTGATATGATGTGTTTGATCATAACTTAAATTTATGCTGAAATATCCCTTTGATACTCACCTCAAGTTCACCTTCAGATGATGTTGGACATAAAGTCTTAAGACTTGTCTGTTATTGACCACCTACATTGAATAGAACAGATCATTAGGATAGCCTTTGGCCCTAAGGAATCCATTGGAAGGAGCGAATATAATACCTGGACTAATCCAGCACATAGATGAGGATCACAAGCCTAAACCTCCATGTCCCAGTGGAGGGATGCAGGATTCATTTGTAGAAATAACCAGAGCTGAAGAGGCTTCTTACAATAATAATGAGGTAAAAAATAATCTGGAGGTGTTAAAGACAGCCCAATTTATATGACATCAGATGCCAGAAGCAATTACCCCAGGGTTTTACTCAAGATCTGTCATCCTTCTGCAGCCAGCTGTCTAATAAAAGCACATTAAGCCATGTAATACATTTAAGAATGATTTGATGTGCTTAATCAACCAAGAAACAATCATCAAGGTTGATTTGTCTGTCTGAAAACATGGCTCCTTGATTGCTCAGAGGTATGATTATTGTGGTCAGACCTCTGAACTGCAGTGACATTTCAGTGGAATCACATTTGTGTCCAAAATGCAACTCAGAAAGGTTTAGTTGAGTAATTACTGGGCTCAGCATCGCAACAAGTTTTTTTTGTCCTTGTGTCTTGATATACTGTTTTTGAAGACTTGCAAAATGTTATATGGTATAAAATAGAGGAATAGTATAAAAAAAGAGGAGAAAGACTTTACCTTGAGTGAGATTCATAAATTGTATTGATGAAATGACGACTCCCCAAAACTGATGCCAAAAGGAGTTCCTCATACTGGCTTTCTACAGCATAGGTTGTAGAGCCTACTTTTATGTTCATGATAGTGATTTATGTCCAGTTGTTAACTTTTTTAAGGAATTTAGTTTTAAATACCTGTTAGATGCAAAGATGGATATAATACCATGACTAACAGCTCTCTTGATAAATAGTCAGGCTCCTTTTGGCACTATGGGTGCTGTATAAGCAGAGTTTAGGAGATGGCAAAGGGAAAATGCAATGCACATGACACCAAGAGACACTGGACTTTTGAGGGCTACAAATCTCATCTTAAAACTGCCAAAAGTATCTTTTCTGCTGTAGACTGAACCAACTTGAAGGATCTTTGTCATTATACTAGTTTATTAAATTTACAAATTCTACTGCACAGTCCAGGGCAATAAAAACCTTGCTTGCACATTATATCAGTAGGGTATTTGGCTTCAATTTAGCACAACAGGAGGAGGTGGAGACTCAGTATCCATGTGCAGTAAAACTGTGAAAATTTAATTTAAACTCAAATAAAGATTATGGCTTTTAACACAATGCTGTGCTCCTTCGAACATTAAGTCTAGATAATCTTCCCATTTGCATGAACTGATATGCAAAGCAGAGTTAAAATGGAGTCAAAGTATTACCTATGGCTAATTAGAGTGTGGCAAGTGAAGAAAGTATTGTTCCACCTATAGAGGACAGTGCTTGTACATTATTTGTAAACTGAGGAGAATGAAAAACTTAAGTTCTGTGAAACTTTGATCATAATTTGAAATATTTGTTCAGTTTTCTCAGAATAACCTCATTTTTCGAGGTTTTGTCCTCAGTCCTTTAAATGACGCTGTGATATTTATTCACATCAGTATAGTTCTGTGTCCACAAGATACAGCATTGACCTTTGATAATTGATTGCGCTTTGCTTATTTGATGTGTTGATGTCAATACACTCTACATTTCAGAGAAGATACCCATAGGTCTAACAAGGGTGTTAAGTATCGATAACATATCATCACATTAAATGTGAGTTTTAAAAGGATGATTTCATCGGTGGATTTCTGATTTTGTTTTCAAACATGTAGTTGATTGGTTTGATTGATTGTATGTTAAGGTCTGTTAAGTTTTTTTAACATCTGATCACCTCAAGTTACACTGACAGCAGGTTTCAATTCAGGACCTGACTTTTTATGTCACCGGGGGAGATCACAGCAACAGCAGCAGCAGCAAGCTGGCTGCCCTAAGCAATATGGAGGTCAAATTGCAAAGAGCCCAGTAGAAGAAGCTACACAGAAGTAACCTGATTGGTCAGGAGGATTGGTGACCTTGACAACTACTCATTATCTGGAGCACCCGGGGGAGGGGAAGGGGTTGGATAAGGTTCAGTCCCCTGGCGGGACCGACAGGGAGGCAAAGACAGATAACCTCAGGGAGGGTTTCTCCAATCCCAACAGGGATCTCCAAGCTTCCAGCTTTAGTTTCTATCCCTCCTGCTGTCATGGAAACTGTTACCATGGCGGCCGGATCACCTTATCACCTCTTGTTCTCTTATTTTTCTGCATGTGTTATCCCTACTCTGTTTTCTTCTAAATGTCATTAAATTAAACACGCACACAAACAATGTAGTTCTATCAATCCTGAAGACGCACCAACAAGGCACACAGAAACACCCTTGGATTTCACAGTGGGATGCTCAGAGGCAACAAAAGGTGACGACAGAAGATTAGTGAGGAGAATCAAGTGGAACTCAAGGTCTTTACTCTCATCAGATTTACACACAGAGGGAGGGGGCGAGTACAGGAGGTTTCATTTTGGTTTTGAATTAATTTGGGAGGATTTAAACACCAGAAAAGTCCCCTCTCTCTCTTTCTCATGCTCTGGTTGTCACGGCAGTCGTGAAAGGAGGCAAAACATGTTTCGTGGGATAAAGCAAACACTGCATCCATGCAAGGCCATCTGAGAGACACAACACAAATACTTAACTTTTCTTGTTAGTGGAAAAGGTTTTTATTCTTGCATATGCTGACAACAAATGTTGCTGTTGTTAATGATTTTAAAATACTGTGGTTATATATCAAGGTTAAAAATAGACTGGTGTGAGCAGTGGCTTACATTTAAAATCGCTCACTTCCTCAGACTGCAGGCTTTTCAGTAGTAATCTTTCCGGCGGACAGACTAAGATGGGTTTTTATTCCTCTGCCTGGAAAAGACACAAACACACTATAGAAATTTCACGGCTAGAAATGTTTTGAATGGATTCATCCTATTTAGCTTATTATAGTAGTAGTGAATTTGTGCTGTTTCTATGTCATTGCAGATGGATGGTTTTGAGGAAAAGTGCAGCTGAATACATATTTGTGAAGTTGAACTCCTGTGTTGGCTTTTCTTTAGTATTTATAGTCCTAAAGCTATTTACTCACCCTTCACCACTACAATAAGCCATCCTATTCCCTCTATGGTCAGGTAGTATGATGGGCTCTCTGGGTCCCTATACAGATTTACACCCTTTTCTTACAGAAATGCAAAATATACACATTAGGCAAAAAGCATCTGTAGAAACTTTTGCAGACATGAACAGAATTTTTGATCTGTGATATACAGTGTAGCATTTATTTTTTCTGGATATCAGGATCAGTGTGCTGGCATTTGCTGATCTGGAAAACACCTCGCTTAACATACAAATGCTTCTGAGGAGCGCTTTAATAATTATTGTTTTATAGCTTTTAACAAGCTGCTACAACCTTTAAAGGTCCTGTATTACACTCTTTTTCAGCAGGTTCACATAGGTCTCAGAGGTCCTAGAACAATTAATTTGAAGTTTGTTGTCTAAAAACCCAGTTTTTTCCTGGACACCTCAGCCAGCCTGAAAACTCTCTCTAGTGAGTTCAACCGAGAACACACAGTTTCCGTGCTGCGCCTGTCCACGCCTCCTTAAGCGCAAGTCACGCCCCACCATGTCTCTCTGGAAGAGGGGGGCGTGGCTTGCTCTACGGTACCATGCGCTAATGTTAACACAGAGAGCTCAGTATGGCTCATAGAAGAGTTGTGGTCCAGCTGTACCAGTTTGATCCAACCCAGAGGACTCCTGACGAAATTCCAACTCTGTGGCTGCAGCAGGACGTTTCTGAATGGTTAGTTACAAATATTATGTGTCTCCATATTTTTCTATTTACTTTGTGTGTTGGTACACATTGACTTACTTGTAGCTAGGAAACATTAGCTCCTGCCAACAGTTACAACACTGCTATCTTCTTGTTACTTGGAGCTCTTTTGGTGAATGCGCAATATTGTAAGTATAGTTCTCTCTCATGACTATGTTCTTGCATCCTATGGACACAGACTTCTGTGCTGCTTCGTGCAGCCAACATCAGAGCAACTGCTGTGCCTTGCTTGTATCTTCACCATTTTGAACCAGCTTTTGCGAGGGAGAAAAATAGTGTCTGAGTGGAAATTTTTGGGGGTGTGTGGGTAGGGGACATCTTGGGCAGGGTCAACAACCTGGAGGGGAGGAGTTATTGCCGTCAATGACATCATGGAAGCAGATAATTTCAATCCACCCGTTTGAGCAGACATTTTCTTAAAGGTGTAACAAGCAAGAGAAGGAGAGGGTAGAATTTTCTCATTTTGAGGGGGGTTTGTTTTAAGTCATACCTTTACTTACCTTAAAGTCATTTATCATCAAATGAAGTTAAGAAAGGAAGCCTTTGAGTTCTTTGGTGTACCACTCAAGAACTCTCCTTGAGAAAAGTTTGCACTCTACACACAGAGACAAACACTGACACTATGGGCTCTATTTTCATGCCTCGCCGGAGACGTGCCGCAGGCGCAGCATAAGTCAGGTCTACCGCGCCGACAAGGCGTTCCCAAGCACAATTTGGTATTTTGGTGAGCGGCGCATCCTGGCATAAGTATCCCCCCTTCCTAACTCAGCTCCTCCCAGCGGCGTTAGTTGTAGGGAAGGAGGAGAGAGGATGTGGAGTGGGTTTAACACAGCCAAGACCTGTTTTTACCAATAACATCAGCTCCTCTCCTTGCCTTTAAATCCGCCACCGGCGAGGCTTATTACTATTTTTGTGAAGTAGTCAAAGAGATCAAGAGATGTCTGAAGACAGTAATGCCACATGATGGCAACAGAAGGCAGCTCCTCAACAAGTTTCACTGTAAGCGCTGCAGAGGGCGTCCTCCACACTCTCATATGAGCACAGATGTATTTGGTGTGTGTAATGTTGGACCCACTGGTAAAAACACCCTTTTCCACTAATAAAGACACTCACACAAAGTTGCATATATTCAAACCTCACGTGACAAAGGTGGGTTGAGCGCACAGATCACAACATAAACTCCAAAAATGGCATTAAAATTGGAACCATCTGTGCGTAAATGACGCATCGCGCTCCGTGGACTGGCTCTTTCTTTCATAGATGTTGGCATATAAAATAAATTTGGCCCACAAAACTGAATATTATAATATTCGTATGTAGGCTACAAGTAAATAACTCATCTGATCACTGAAACAAATCATCTGTTCAGCCGCTGCAGCAGCAGCTGCAGTAGGACGGACAGAGGACACGGAGACGTGTCCAGGTCAAGCTGCGTGAGAAATAAGAGGAAGAGGAAGAAAGAAAAGGAGGGAGACAAATTAAATATCTTGTTAACTTCATCATGTGTGTTTATTTACTAGATATTTAATTTAATTTAATTTAACGCGGTTTCAGCTGTGTTGATTCGGTCAGGTTGTGTCCAAACGCGTGCCAAACATGCTCATCAGATCAGATATAGATCAGAATATATCGATATAGATCTAAATGTATGTGCTGACTCAGATTATTAGTTGTTGATGATTATTTATTGCACTGAAATCTGCCTGACACTGTGGAAACCTGCCTGTGAGGCATCAGTGACATATGTCGATACGCCGCCGGTCTACCAAAATACCACTAGACCAGCTGCGCTTCGCCTGCGCTGAAAGCTGACCAGGTTTGAATCGGCGAGCTTTCAGCGCACTTTACACGCCGGTGGCGAGCATGAAAATGTCACTGCACCCGCTGATTCTGTCAACACCTCCCCCTGCCACACCACCACGCCCAGCTTGCCGGATCTCGGTTCGCCTCCGTGCGCCTCAGTCCACGAAAATACCAAACTGGCTGTACGCCGGGCTCCGCCAGACGAAAATACAACTGCGCGGGGTCCGCCACCCTCCACCGCCTCATCGGCGTACACGAAAATAGAGCCCTATATCTTGATGATGTAAGTTGAAGTACATATAATGGAAGCATAATAGCCCCTCATAGAGTGCCTCACTGATATCAGGTTTTTGTTTCCAACAATCATGCATCACAACTAATACCTCCTGGTTTGCACTATGCAGGAACGTCAGCTCTTAAAATTGTAAGTTAATTAACTTGGAAAAGGAGACAATCATTTGCGAGCTAGAATCTGAAGGTGACTCTGAGCCACACAGTGCCAAAATCGTTTTATCTCATCAGGGGCCTTTTTTTCTTGTAGTAAAGTGCTGTGTATTCATTACTGTATCACACCATCCAGCATTTTTGAGCATAATCACCAACAGCGGGATCACAAACTGCTCTGAAACTGTTTTCAACAAATGACTCAATGAGTGCTTGTTTGTTATACTACATTGTAACATATTGTACATAGAATCTTGTATGTTGAGTATGTATACAAGTGTGTGTAGGCGTGTGGCCATGACACTAAAACAGAGTTTCAACAACACCAACATGTTTGTGTCAGAAGAAAACTCATCATTTAATGAAATAAATATTTATGTGTGTGCAGCATGATGATGTGTATTTGCATGTGGGGACAAATAGCTGTAACGACATACACATATTTTAATGAGGCTCCAAATCAGTGCATGTAATTTACTGGCATGCTTGTTTGCATCAAAACAAAATAACCATTTCACTGTTTGATTGCATCACTGCTGAACCGCCTCCAGTACTCAATGTACACAGGCTTAAATGAGATCACACATAACAACTGAATAGTACAACAAAGCATCAAAGGGAATACTTGATGCAATAATTTGCTCATGTTTACTGTTCATCAATATGGCATGCAGCCTATAATACATCAGATATAACAGCTGTGGATTGTGTTTTAGATTTGTGTCAGCCTGTGATATTCAACACCCTGTGTTTCTCAATTGACTGGCTTAAATGAAACAAAAGAACTTGCTTCCTTTTCCAAAAAAACCCCACTCCTTTTAGTGGAATGAAGGCTTAAAATCAAATTAAAGATGTGAAGGGAAGAGGGAAAGAATAATGCATACCAACCATGGACTGTATATAGAATGGATGCTGTCTGCCCCCTCGCTAGGTACGGCCTCTGCAAGAACAGCACCCTCTGGTAGTTGGCTGCAGTACAGGTCATAAATCTCGCCTCCTCCAGCAATTCCTACGGAGCCGTTGACAAACTTTAGAAATTAATTACACAGAATATACATTTTACTCTACCCTAGTTACGATGTTGACATGTAATTACTGTAGGGCTGGTTGTGCTCAAGTCCTCTTTTTTCTGTGCAGCTTCATTTTCAAAAGTTATTAGGGGGTTCTTGTTTTCTATGATTGACACTTGATACAGCCTATGGGTGTATGAAGATTTCCTATCTCACCCAGGGGATGCCCTGTTTGAGCCAAGCGTCATCACAGCAACTCTCCTGCTAAATGCATACAATGCTGCTACACAAGTGGTGGTTCTAGGAAGTGGAGAAAATCCCAGAAATACCGAGAGCAATTCAGCTTTAAATTCATATACTGACAGAAGGCGTAGCCAAGTTGTCCATAATATATACAGTCTATGATACAAACTTAGAAATAACTTGCTTATACACAGTTGTCATGAGTCTTAAAATAAACTGGTTATCAGCTGTAATCAGTTAGAGGAGCACATTTAATATTTATTTATCACTCCCCTATAAGTAAGTTAGCAGAAGGACCTGAATATAACTCACCCACTACTATGTACATAATTCCACACCGAGCAGGTGCATGCTGGGTTAAAGAGCTGTGAAACCACAGGGAACACTGTGACACTGTTGAGCTATTTGTAGAAGCCATGAAAAGCCAAGGAAAAATACAATTACCTCCACATTATCAGGCTGTGTTATATACCTGATACTGATTAATCAAAGCCTGCTAATAATATATAGTAATCAACCTTCTCAATGGCAAAATGAATGCCAGGAATCACACACGTCATATGAAGTCAACCATTTCTGTTGGGGAGAAGTGGAGCAAGATTTTGTCCTGCAATCCAGGATATGGCAGCAGAGCTGATGAGTACACATCTCCAAGTTTTGAATAGTTGTCAAGTAACTCAAAGCTCTTCGAAGGAACTTTAAGTTTGGTCTATTCTGGCACCCCTGAGGACAAAATGTAATGTCTTAGTATTTAATGATTTTGTTGTGTACATGTGTACGCTTTTTCCTTATTGATACATCCTGTCATTCTTTACTTTATTTGTCAAAGGTATACATCATCATAAACTCCCCAATGAAAAGTACAAAGCCATAAATCACTTAGGGCCTGATTTGCTCAAGGTTTGCGCATACAAACTTGATAGCGCACGCAAAGCTGATCTACTAACTGGGTGCACCGAGGATTGTGTCTGTCAAATGAGCAAAACAGCATGCGCAATCGATTTAGTGTGTTTGCCTTCATGAATATGCAGACTGTATGTAGATCATCAGGACGTGTAAAATACTCTAGGAGCAGATGCAGATAGAATCATTTAGCACCCACAATGCGATTGTGATCGCTGTTTTTGCATCTATATTTCGCATGTTTGAAAGCCACATGCAAACTGGCAGTGTAACGCACAAATGGCTGCAGTCATTGTGTTGAAAGGGAGGCAAAAGTGCAATGATAGATGACAGAGAGAGAGTCTTCGGTACGTGTGTCAACATATTTGGACAGTCAGTGATAAAAATAGTAGAGTAATAGTAAGGCCATTTTTGTGCTGCTGGGTGACCTAAGGGCTGATTTGGAGCCAGTCACAAAAATGATCCATGCCATATCTCCTGTTGAAAAACTCCTTGCAACACTGCATTTTCCTGCGTCTGGATCATTCCAGCGCACCATCCCAGTTAGAGCGTCTCCCAGAGTAGTTTTTCAAGTGTGCTGTCCCAAGTGTTAAATGCTGTGTCACGCAGGATGGGCATGTATTTCCAGGTTTCTTGCATCTAGGTGCAACTCAAACTTCATTTTTCACCTACCATCACTCTGCAAACTTTCCATGGCGACAGCTGACAGTGCACACAAAAACCTTGTTAAAAGAGGGTTTTCTGCACCCCTTTTGCACCTGTTATCAATTGCGCACACAATGATAGTAGATTACCCGCAACATGCCCACCAATAGCACATGCACATTTTTGGTCTGCACCACAATTTAGAACCCCTTATTTGGGATTTTAGAAGATCAGGCCCTTGGACTGACATCTACCCCACCAGTGATTGCTGAAATTAAAAATGACTATTATTCAGTCTTCATGATGATGTTCTGTTTTGCTTTTTGCAGCCCATGGAGCGATATTAGAGTCATTTCAGTCTGTTTAATCACCAGCTAAAAACTCATCTCAGGAGCTCAGGAGTTGTGGTCACGAGCTGTACAAAACATAGACGTAGTCTTAGTGACATCAACTACAGGAATTTTGAAGCCAATTGGATGGTGTCATGCTGATTTGACTTAACCTTCAGTCAGCCTTTACTTGAGATAAAAAGGCAGATTTGAGGTTGGCCTTCAGCCTCCTTTTAAACAACTTTGGAGTCCCTGCCAAATTAGCTGTGCTTCTTTAGTACAAAATTTGTAATCTTAATACTTTCAAAACATTCAGCCTCATGAAAAAAAAAAAAACAGAAAAAAACTTATTCTGACGAAATCCATTTTTTGAACTAAGCTTTTAACGTGTTTATTTTTGTCATAAAGCAGGGCTATTCAGAAAGGCGTGTCAACTGCAAAGCTTCAAGAAGAAGGACAGCTGAATGGGAACAGAAATATAACCATGAATAGGCTATTCCTACAGACTTCCCATTTATCCTCTCTAATGTTACCAGCTGGTGAGCCTAAGGGACAATGTATTTTAGCTGTCTAAACAAATAAATTTCAAATAAATAAAACCTTCTTTAAATCAATATTTTGTTTCAACCTGTTTATCGGTATAATCAGTATAATAACCAGGATAATGTATAATGAAACAAGGCCCCTCTGCCTGCATCAGGGCTCCGCTCACCCTGTCTGCATTCTAGTTTGTATAACCACCTATTATGTTTGGCTGCGAACAAAATGACTGCGACTAACAGGACAATGGTTTAGTCGTGGTAGGACGAATGAAAATGGTAGCCATGGTTCTTCACTCCTCTTTTCTCTCTGCTCCAACCCACTATTCTCTTTGTATTCATTTAGGTCATGGCTCAGCACTCTACATATCTGTCTCAAACGAGGGTTTTAAGGCAAGTGAACAGTGTGACGTTTCTGCTTGATGCCTATTGTCATTTAAAATGAGAGGGATTTTACAGTATGAGGACTGAGAGTCAAGGGGGATTTATGAAGAAGCTAAGGATGAGCAAGAGAAGAGAGAATTAGACCTTTAGGATCTTTCAAAGAACACACAGGCATCAACTTTTAGAATTATAAAGACAAATGCCCATCATCCACAATGTGAGCAAATTTGTGCTTCCATAGGCTTTGCATGGTGGTCTGAAAATGGTGTGATTAGATTTATTGGTGGCATGTTGCTGTCTTCAGACAGCAAGAAGCAACCAAAAGGAAACCAAAGAAAAATTTACCAAAATGTCAAACATTACTTAAAAAGACCTCACCTACCTATTACAATTAAAAGCTACCTATCGCATTTTGAACAATGCCCCCAGACCCCACCCCACAGCCTATAACTGCCTATAGTAACATTAGGGCCCCGGTTCATGATGTGAATGTTTCTCCTTTTATTGTCCTCATCATGGAAACCCACAGAGTAAGTCTTTGTTAAAACACTGGAATATTCGGCAGACATTCGCCCTTATTATCCTTCTGTATTCATCTGCTTTTCTTGAGAACTCAATGAAGCGTTTCTTCTTCAGCTGAATTTCCTCCTTAATGGAAGAGTTGTGTTTCCTCCCCCTGGCAGACCATCTCACATGAGGAGGTCCTCTTATCTGCTCTGCCTGCGTTTAGCTCAAAGGCAAAATCTGTGATAAATTCACAAAAAGATGTGTGTTTTGTTTCTCTGAATCATTATCTTATATAGCACAATGATGATTCATACCAGTGAACTGAGAGGAAGTTCACAAGAGTTTTACTTTGTTCGCCTCTGTACACTTTTGGGTTAAAGTCGTGTTAATGAACTTAGTGAACTCTAAGGAGTAGAGACTGACACGTTTGGGCCTAACCCTGTCTAAGGGTACAGTTACTTTTAAACACCATTTGGAGTCCATCCATCATCAGCTTTTGAGGCCTTCTATCCGAACTCCAACTACAGGTACTTTAACACCCAGCCCCCAACCCCTGAGCCACAGCTGCCCCCTCCTAAGCGTTATCCAGGGCTAGGGTTTCCAACCGCCCCTTGAAAAACAGAATGGTCCCGCATTTAGAAACAAAAGTACACGTCCCGTATTGACCTGAAAAGGGACGCACTTTGTCCCTTATCATGACAATCAAAAATAACCTGTATAATGTCAATGGATTTAATGAACAACAGGGCGATTTATGTAAAAAAAATATGGTAAATCTATTATGGTAAATCTATTTGTGTGTGCCGACAGCACACACAAATAGTTTAGTTTAAGCCAGACAGAGTTCTGGTAAAGATTTATTTTTATTCAATGAATTTAAACAGGACAGGTTTCTGTTTAGGAACGCTTTTGTTTTTATTCTGTTTATCTTGGTATGCACAAAAAATAAAATGCTAAATAATTATTTCTTTTCCCTGTGTTCATATAACAAAAAGTCATTTGATATGTTTTGTCTTCACCATCCCACTCTGAATGGTGGAGAAATCGACTCACACACAAAAAAAAAGGGTTTAAAAATTCCCCAAGCCAGGAAGGGTGAAGGCAATCAGGTTGGCTGGCTCTGCCAGTGAGGTGCCCCTTATTATTTTTTCAGGGAGTTGGCAACCCTGTTCAGGGCACCTGCTGGCCTTCTTTTAAGTCCCCCTCCAGCTGCAGCCTTTTTACTCACTAGAGGAAAATGCATGGGCAGGGTGGATATGAGACTGCTTACCCAGGTCTGTGTGAAAGACTGGGCTAATTCTGAATGAGCAAAGTAATATCCAGTCCATCTTATGAATGAGTCATCCCCTCTGTGCCTGTTTATCATAACCAAGAGGGGTTGGCCCTTTGGGAATCTCTGGCTCTGTTTCCTGATCTTGATTGTGTTTGGTGTTTCTCTGCTGGGCGTGGTCAAGGTTAGGTTAAGATTGATAAGTACTTCTGTTCACATCTAAAACCATAAAATCTGATAGTAAACATATTGAGCAAGTGCTAAAGCTTTACCATTTAAGATCCTTAATAACACATGAGTGGAACAGTACTGAAATTCCCCTTCTGTCTGACATGACAAAGTACAGTGGTCAGACTTGCCCCTTCAAAGCAATACTTTCATCACTGAAATAGTCTGCCCAGAGTAGAAAATGAGCTGGTTTGCTCTTTGGGAGTGAGCTAATTAGCCTTGTTGTGCCAAAACAGATTAGTCAGTCCCAGCAGCTGATCCAGAGATACCGTTGATGAAGGAGAAGTGATGAACTTTTGGCCTCATACAGTTAACCACCACAGCTATCACTTGAAAGATATTAAATTCATTAAACAAGTTAACGATAGTTAGAGGCTCCACTGAACAGAAGCTGCTAAAAATAAAGTCTTTTATTGTCTTGTGTACGTCATCATCCGTGTCAGGAAAAAAAAAAAAAGCAACACTCTTAAGGAGGTAAGGATGCCACAAATAGAAGAAGTTGCTGGCGGGTTAGTTTACAGCCAATGTTTTATTTTATTTATCTGAAAATAAAAGAAAAGAAAACTATAATAAAAATCACCTGTACCCAGGAGTTCTGGGATTCCAGCTATTTTCATGGGTTGCCAACATCACTGTCTGTCACACCCATAATGTGAATAATATGTTCTGACTTGAGAACACAACAGAACTTCAGAATGCAAACAGCCAGTGACCTTGAATGGGGGCATACAAAGCAAACGCCTTGGAGAGAGAGAGAAGACTGCAAACAAACCTTTTTTTGGTCTCTTGTCTCCTCTGGATATTGTAGCTGAAGGGTCCTACTTTGTCAGCGACAGCTGGCCCTATGAACGCCTGCAGAGAAATGCCAGCATGGATCAACAGCAGAGCAGCTGAATGGACAGGAAGGGTGTAATCTGCACAGGAATATACCATTTTATTATCTTTCATTTGGAAAGGCAGGTTGACGAGACGTGAGGGATTCAGCCAAAGAAGAAAAAGATCGTTAGCCAAGATCATGAGGTGATTATAGAGGGGTTTCAATCATTATCAAAGAAACTGACTCACACCTTTATTATTTTGAAACATTTGAATGCGTTCTTTATAATCATGACACTGTTACCACTCAAAAATCTCACTAACTTTGGCCAAAGTGGAAAGTCGATTCTGTCATCTACCTTGTATATTCAGTGCTGATCCAGCTCATAAGACTACAGGCCCAGCAGTCAGCAGGTTTCCATCGGCGTAATCACTTTATTAATCTCTCACACTCATCTTTATGCTGGCAAACAAAACCAAAACATACAAGATATTTTTTGTTTGTGTCTTTTCTTTAGTGCTGATCATTTGGAAATTTGTTATTATCAGATTGTCAGAAATAGTAAAAAACTGAAAAAGCTATGGGGAGATAAAATTTTAGTCCTCCCTTTGTCAGATAACCAAAAAATAAGACTTCAAATGAACACTAATTGTTACATGTCTATTGGATGTGCAGGAAGACTTTTGAATGACACTTTTTTTTTTTTTTACACGTTCAGTTTTTGTCTGAAAAACACGCTCAGCATAAAAGCAGCTGCAACTTAAAGTTTTGGCCTTTTCAATGGCATGATGTAATGGATGAAAATAGTTTAAAGACGGCTCCCAATCCATCCATCCATCCATCCACAAACAGATCATAGAAATCATCACTCCATCACAGCAGTCACAGTGTGCTTTATACATTTTTAAATGGCTGGCCAATGAGGAAGACATTTCTTTTGCTTTCGAAAAACCATCTTAAGCAATGCCACCCTCGGGTGCACATGCCCTCCTATCCTGATGACCAGCGATGACTTCATCTACCCTTGACGCTATCACTGTCAGCAGCCACAAAATGTACCCTGTCACTGCATACACTGCAGTCAGAGTCAGAGCAGGCAGAGCCTGGAGTCAGTTGGGACTTAGGTTGTGTGTATGATGCATGTTTTTAATTATTTCCTACCGCTCCATTTTCCCCACAGAAACACAAAGCCTGAGGACGCTGTGAGAAAAAAAGGCTGTTTAAAAAAAAAAAGTCTTACTTTAAAGGTGAGGGTTGAGTTAGGACATGATTTCCTCAGGGCATGAAGGTGATGTTTCTATTAAGAAGATATTAAATTATCAAGTTAATGGAAAGCCTCACATGTTTGGGTTGTACCTTGGTTGGCTGTGGGGCATCTGTATCATGGCAGCATACTAAGTATCCTAAGGGATAGGGGTGTGCGTGTTTGTGTGACCTTAAAAGGTTGCAGAGACTTAAAGATGCCTTCTATCAGGGACAATGAAGATACAGAAAGATAACTGGAAAAAAACAAGGGGCAGAAACAGAGTAGAGGTGAAGAGATGATAAATGCCTTAGGGAAAGAGAGGGAAAAAGAAAAATCAGGAAAAGAGGACGGGAGTGTTAAGCAGGAAGAAATACTATGAATAATGTAAGGCTTTATTTCAGCCCACTCTAACCAGTGCTTTGTTCATCTGCTGTTTGTCTGTAATAAGCTCTGGCAGAAATAAATCTCCCCTAAAACCTATAGAGTAAATGGTTCCTCTGATTCTCTAACTCCCTTTCCCTCTCTCTATGTCCTTTTCGGTTTCTCTGTCATATTCACTCCCCTGCACTCTGTCCCTGTCATAATCAACATACTTATGATGGATCTCATTTAGCAAAGGAGAGAAAACTAGAGGAAATAATGTGGTAGTGGTGCACATTGGATTTAAGTCTTCAGAAGCAGAGTAACCACATGTAACCAGTGTTTTAACAGATAAGGTGCTAAGCTGCCTCTGTTGGCAAGGCTCTCCATTTTCCATAAGCCTATGCTTTTGACTTGTTTTATGTGTTTTGGTGTTATCCCCTGATTCCAGTCAAGGGATGTCATAACATTAGTTCACCCTGAAAGTTCTGACTGGTAGCTACTGTATATGATTGGCTGTTTGGCTATGATTAATTTATTGATAGATTTATAGATAGGTATAGAGCAGAACCAGGGGCAGCTCTCGGATAAATAGTTGAAATGATAAGTGTATGCCACTACTTTTTTTTAGGAATTGGAAATGGAGCTAACATAACGCCAAGTTTATGTTTCAAAAGCCAGACACAGAAATACAGGGGGACTGAATTTGACTGTCAGAATAAGTAGTTTTCCTACAAACATCGCCGTCTGAATATGATGACTAATGAAGTATTTTGACATTGACACCTTATTTATTGTTAAATGTTTCTAGTGATCACTGCCCTTTGTCAATGTCTGTCAAGGCTAAAACATACAGGATCCGTGTGAGTGCGTTCCGTCAGCATCGCGTATCACGCAGCAAATAGGTTTCCGTTCTAATTGCACACAGGTCGCATATCAACTATGTCGCAGCTCCGTATCGTAGGCGTTCAAGTGCGGCTCTGCTAAAGATTCGTGCCAAGCCTAATTTTTTGCTCTACGCTTCCAACACGCGTCAATTTACATAGAGAAAATCGTTCTAGACGGGATGTCAAGCACAAAAAACATGCATGTCATCCTGTAAATTTCAAAATAAAACACTGTATGCAAACTCCTGACTGTGTATCAGTTCGTGTAGATGAGAAATACTTCCTGGTTATGGATTTATCAGTAACACAGAAGAATCCCATGGTCAATCCCTGATCCATGTGGACCCCAACAAGACTTTGAACTGCAAACTCTGTCTGAAGGTAACACCACAACATAAAATAACATAGTTTACTTTATTAAACATGAGTAAACCTGCAAAAACCGTCTGTCACATGTCTGCTCTATGGAGCAGACATGACAGAGCTTGGCAGAGTGCTTAGGGTCATTGTCTTGCTGCAAAACAAACTTATGAGTCTGAGTCCAGATGGAACAGCATGGTGCTGGAGGATGGAATGGTACTGTTCCTTCTTCATGATACCCTTTACTTCAAACAAATCTCCTACTCCATCACTTGCAAAACATCCCCATACCATGGAACTACCACCTCCATGCTGAATTGTGGGTGTAACACATGGTGCTTTGAGACGTTCACCAGTTTGTCTGTGGACATAGACTCTGCGTTTTGAAACAAACAGTTCAAACTTGTTTCTAGTCATCATAAGTCCAATTTTTGTGAGCTTTTGCCCACTCATGTCTCTTTTTCTTGTTCTGTGGATGAAGTAGTGTTTTTTTGCAGATACACAACCCTTCAGTCCAGCCTTTCTCAAACGTCATTTCACGGTTGTCAGAGATATGGGTTTAGATTTTGTCATGTTGATTTCCTGCCTTTTTTTGGTGCTGTCTTTTGCCGATCTCTCTTACTGGTAACAATGATATGTTTATCCTCTGCTTTTTAAGTAACTCTCTTTCGTCCAGGTCTTTTTCTATCATCATAACTTCCAGGTTCTTTTAGTCTCATCAGATTGTAGCGGACTCCTTTGTTAAACACCTTTAGGTGTTTTGCAATTTCTCTTTCTGTGTATCCTTCTTTCCTCAATGTACAAATATGTACTTTTGTTTCTTTACTCAGTTGCTTCTTTCTAGCCATTTTTGTGGTAGTTTGAATGTAGTTGAGATTTATTAGGATTTTTGTATGCAGGCTCTCAAAAGCCAAAAAGTTGAAGTGAATAATCCAACTGTGATTTGTTTTTGCACTGAAGTTGTGACTCTTGCAAATGTTTTCAACCCTAAAACTAAGCCCTCATTATCTTTTGCTGAATAATATATTTAGCAATTGTCTGTTAACATCAATGTATATCTAAAGTTAAATGGAGTAAAATGGTGCATTTCCATGAAGGCAACATCTGATCATGGAGTAAATACATCCCAAAATACATAAAACTCATGCTGGATTTAAAAAAAAAGCATTGTGAACAAAAACTTGAAGTTACTCCCAACTGTTTGGCCTGTAATGGCCTTGCTTCAAAACTTTTGGCCTGTAGTGTACATCAACCATTGCATCATATGCGGTAACGGTTATTACAGTCAAATCAAACAGCTTCATCAACGGACCTACAATCATGATAGTACAAACTTAGACTGGGAAAAAAAACCCTAAGTAACCATTATCTGTTGATTACAGAAGATGGCAATTGGCTGCGCTGTCATTTCTGTGTGTGTGTGTGTTAGAGGTGACCCTGAATTAATAGAACTGGGGTTAACTGAGGCAGCTCTGTGGCTATAAGAGGCAGCACTGAACACTTTGTTTGTGTCTTTTATTGTGTGTATGTATTTTTGTCATTGTATTCATGCTTGTTATGCGTGTGTGTGTGTGTGTGTGTGTGTTAAAATAAGTGTGTTACCTTTGCCTTTGGTTCTTGTACGTTGCAGCAGCCCCGTATCTAAGAATAAATCTCAGTACCAGGACAAGAAACTGGTGAGCCTGTAGGCCAGTATGATACATCCACAAACACAAGCTTAGACACATCCAAGAAAAAGGAGTAACACTGCACAGTGATGTTTCCTCTTGGACTCAAAACCAAACTGCCTATGGGCATCTTTTCATCTGTTTTTTATTGAAAGACAGATTCTTTTGTCCATGTAAGCTGCTGTTGTATTTCTGATTGCTTTGAGATGAACCTTTTTTTCTACATGCATCAAGGAGATTTATGAAGCTGTAAAAAAAAACACAAACTTTTTTGTACAAATGGTGCTTTGAAGTGTCCTCAAAAATCACCTCGAACTAACAAATAAATGTAAAAATATTCAGAGTATACCAAAGCTCTTAAATGCAGTGCCATTTTACTGTACCAGGTTATTAATGCATGTGATGGTATCTTCCTTTTTATTACTCCAGAATATCTGACAAGATTAGGTGGAAGGGATTTTGAATGTTTGTTTTGGGGGTCATTTTATTCCTTCTTGACAGGACATCCAAAGCGAGGCATAGAATATGGAGAAAGGTCACATGGCAAAGGGTCATGGCTGGGAGCCAAACCAGCAATGGCTGCAACAGGAGCCTGTAGCTTCAGTGCATGGGGTGTACATTTGAACTATTTGGTCAAAGGGGTTGTTTATGAACGTTAGCCTTTTAGCTACTGCTACAGTGTTTATATGTGCTTGGTTTAGTGCACAACATACAGTATGTTAAATTTTTTGTGAAGAAATTGGAAATAAAAAGATTTTTTAGTGTAAAATACTGTATGAAGTCTATTAACATATTTGACCCATAAATCACAAGGAAGGTGTAGAGTTTTTGTGTCCTTTAAGGTAAAATGGAAATATTTAGCAACATCTAGTTGTCAGATTGTAGATTGAAGCACGCTCCTGCTCTTAGAGGACAACTTTGGCTTGATTTAACTAGCTGCATGATTTACACTACAGGCCAAAAGTTTGGAAGCAAGATCAGATTTGTACAAAAAAAGATTATAGTTTCATATATATAATTTGCAACACAATAAACATGACTATTGTGTAAAGAGTAACTTATCAGAAGACATTTTGACTATAATTATTAGGTATTTGAGTTATTGTTGCTTAGACTTTGCTTTCTTTAAAGTGACCTCCTCTGCCTTTAACAACAGCTTGGCATACCAGACATTCGTCCCACAAGTTTTCTAAGGTATGTTCCAGGGATTGCATGCCAACCTTTTTAAATTCATTAAAAAGAGACTGCTGATTCATGGGACGTGTTTTTCTGACCGATTGATCCAATTCATCCAGCACAAGCTTTGGAGAAAGGTCTGGAGACTGAGGGGGCCAAAGAAGAACACCTTCCTCTTCTTTTTTGTCTAAGTAACCCCGACAGAGCTTGGCAGAGTGCTTAGGGTCATTGTCTTGCTGCAAAACAAACTTATGAGCCACAAGTCTGAGTCCAGATGGAACAGCATGGTGCTGGAGGATGGAGTGGTACTGTTCCTTCTTCATGATACCCTTTACTTCAAACAAATCTCCTACTCCATCACTTGCAAAACATCCCCATACCATGGAACTACATTTAACTCCATTAAAAAAAGCATTGTGAACAAAAAATTGAAATTACTCCCAACCGTTCGGCCTGTAATGGCCTTGCTTCCAAACTTTTGGCCTGTAGTGTAGCTATTTATCTGATGGGTTTGTCAATACAAATTCATCTGCATGAAAAAAAAAAAAAATTCTTCATCTGCCAATCAGCTCTTGAGTTCCTAGTTTAAAAGAAAGAAAGAAAGAAAGAAAGACTCCCTAAAAGGTTAGGCAGTATCACTTTAAGAAAATACAGAAGATGAAATGAATGACTTTATGCATACCATATGGAGAAATACACCAGATGATTGATTGATCAAGCTCAATGAAGCGCAAGACAGACACAGCAGGGTGTGTCCATTCACCTTCATCTCACCATGCCTCTCTTTACAGTTTTGAAGTTATTTCTGATTGTTAGGCCAAGATTATCAACATTTCTGGAAGCAGAGACGAAGAGGTAGCTTATAAAGTTTAGACACTGGAATTTGTCAACAGCCATGCAAATTGTTTCCAGGTGTTTAGCATCATAAATGAACATGAAATCAGCTCTATTTTTGAGACAGACTTTAGAAAGGGGAAAACTAAGCTTATTTTCTAGAGCGGTAAGACCTTTTTCCAACAGTTGTCACACATTATTGAAGCTATTGCTATACTGAATTCAATCAATCAATCAATCAACTTTATTTCCATAGCACATTTAAAAGAACCACGAGGGTAGCCAAAGTGCTGTACATTAAGACATAAAAACAAATAAAACAAGCAAAGAACACGATAGAGAGAGCAAAAATACATAAACGCAATAAATAAATAGATATATAAATAGGCAGGCTCACGGCAAGTGCTAAGGTGATAACATAACACTAAAATGTACTAAAAGCCAAGGAGTAAAAGTGTATTTTAAAAGGGATTTAAAAACAGGGAATGAGGAGGCCTGTTTAATTTTCAAGGGCAAGTCATTCCAGAGCCTGGGAGCTGCTGCAGTAAATGCTCTGTCCCCTCAGCTTCAGCTTTGTATTGGGAACCGTCAGTAACAGCTGATCAGCTGATCTTAGGGGTAATAAGGCTGGAGCATCTCCGAAATATAAGGTGGAGCAAGATTGTTCAGGCCTTTGAAAACAAATATTAAAAGCTTAAAATTGATTCTGTACTGTACCAGGAGCCAGTGTAAGGACGACAGGATGGGGGGGATATGCTCACGCCTGCGGGTCTGTGTCAGGAGACGTGCAGCAGAGTTCTGCACAAGCTGCAGGCAGGGCAAGGGAAGCCTGGCTAATCCCTACATACAACGAGTTGCAGTAATCAAGACAGGTAGTGATAAAAGCATGGATTAATTTTTCCAGGTCATATCTTGATAAAATGGGCTTCACCTTCGCTATTTGACGTAGCTGATAAAAACATTTTTTGTACCACCCCGCTGATCTGCTTCTCAAATTTAAAATCAGGGTCAAAATTAACTCCAAGATTAGTGACGACATCCTTCAGATAGGGTGAAAGGGAGCCTAGGTCGATGCTGGGGGGGGTGGCCGCCACCTGGTCCAAACAACATTACTTCGGTCTTGTTCTCATTAAGACTGAGAAAGTTAAAAGAAAGCCAGGCTTTAATGTCCTTAAGACAGTCAGTGAGTTGTTGGACTGAGTCAGAGTTGTTCTGTGCTAGTGGTAGATAGATCTGGCAATTATCGGTATAAAAATGAAAGGAAATGTCATGTTTCCTAAAAACAGAACCAAGGGGGAGTAGATAAAAGGCAAATAAGAGAGGGCCGAGGATTGAGCCCTGGGGGACCCCATGTGGAAGAGGAGCTGTTGACGACACAGAGTTGTCAAGTTGAACGCAGAAACTTCTGTCCATTAAGTACGACTGGAACCAGTCCAGGACGACACCCTTAATGCCCACACAGTGCTCCAGGCGAGATATTAAAATGCTGTGGTCAACAGTGTCAAATGCAGCAGACAGATCCAGGAGCACTAGGACAACAAATATTCCAGAGTCCGTTGACAAGAGGATATCATTAGACACCTTCAGAAGTGCAGACTCTGTGCTGTGGAGAGCCTCGAAACCGGACTGGAACAACTCTGTGATACCATTGTCTTCCAAAAATGGTAACAACTGATTGTAGACAACCTTCTCTAGAATCTTGGACAGGTATGGAAGATTTGAGATGGGTCTGAGGCCTGTTTTTTTAAGTAGCTGTCGTACTACAGCATGTTTAAAATCCCTAGGTACTGTTCCAGAGGAGAGGCTACTATTTACAATATTAAGGACACTTAGGACACTCCAATAGTAGCAAGTACCTCTTTAAACAAGCGAGGGGGGATGGCATCTGCAGGGGAACCAGAAGGCTTCATATGGCTGACTATCTTCTTTAAAATAGAGAGGGACAGAGATTCAAACTCAGCAAAGACAGATGAGGGGTGCAGAGGGGCTGAAGGGTCATACGAAGGTTGAGAGATACAGGCTCTGGTTGACATAATTTTGACAGAGAAAAAGTGGAGGAATTTTTCACAAATTTCAGTGGAGGCATCAAAACCAAGAGACTTGGGAGCCTCAAGGACAGTGTTTATGGTTTTGAACAGAGCTCTGGGATTGTTACAATTAAAAGCAATTAATTCTGAGAAATATTTGTTATTCTCAGCTTTCACTGTCTCCTGATACTTCCACAGGCTATCTTTAAAGATGCCAAGAGACACATGCAGTCTGTCCTTTTTTAACCTGCGCTCCGCCCTCCACCGGACACTGGGTGGGGATGTCAAATAAAATCGGCATGTGATCCGAGAAAACAGCGTCACAAATGTCAAGATTGGAAACACACAGACCGTGCGAGAGCACTAAGTCTAGTGTGTGTCCGAGATTATGTGTAGTGTGGATAAGTGTGGATATTAAAATCACCAACAATAAGGACACGGTTGTATTTCGGCAGAATTCAGAAAAGTCACTCATAAAATCCTTATTGTACTTGGGTGGTCGATAGATGACGGCGCACAGGACAACATAAGAGCAGCCCAGTTCAAACAAGAACTGGAATTGAATTGAATTGAATTGAATTATTAGTATTTTTGATTTTTATGATATGGAAGGGTAAAAACTACAAAGGATAGCATGAAAACAGTGAATCTAGCTGCAGAATTTGGACCATAGACTGTATAAAACGTAAACATTGTATAAACATAGTCTCAGTGTCACCCATTGGTTTCTCGCCCTTTTATTTTTGTCACAACTGTGGTGTTGATTGTTTTTACTTAAGTCAATGTGTTTGTTTCCACTGACTCCACTCCATTGCATATTCAGAGCCCTCCACAACAGATATTTCCATTTCTGTCAGAAAAAGCAGAAAACTCTTGGTTTCTTGACTCCAGATGCCATTATGGGCTCTGAA